ATAGCCCAGCAGCACAAAAGCAAGAAGATGATAAAAATACAGAGCACTATTATGAGGGTCAGTGGGTTTTTAGGTATGTCTGCTATCAGGTTTCTCCCCAGATCTACTGTGTTGGGAAGAACTACTACTTTGGCTGCCAGGAACCTGATGCTGGGTGCTGGAAGGGCTGACACACTCCTGCGACGCCGCATGGAGACACAGATACAGTGCACCTTCTCCCAGTTGGTCAGGGGACCAATCACACATGTCTCTTTGCTCCACTCATTTTCAATCCCATTCAGAAATAGGCACTGGTCATTAAAAATGTATATGCTCACCATTTTCTGGTTTGGGTACCTTAAGATATAGTGTGTCTTCAAGACAACAGTGATGTTCTGAGTGTCTGCACCACCTTTCTGCACTATGTCTACCAGCAGGGACTTTGGGAGACAGACTATATAGGGACCTTTAACGCTACAGTCATCAATGATTGTCTCATTTCCACTTGCAACTGTTTGCATGTTGTGAAAAGCAATAAATGAGGCCACGGGCTGAGCGCCAGTAAGATTGGTACCTGTAAATATCAGCACCTTGAAAGTAACTTTTAATTTTGTCATGATCTGGAAGTACATGCTCGTGGCAGTTTCATTGATCTCAAAATGAAATCCTCCAGTTGTGTAAGTTTGTGTTTTATCGGGTCCCATTAGTAAATTAAAAGTAGCAACTCCACCTTTCCTGGCAAGAAAAGCGTCTGCTCTTTCAGGCATGAATGGAACTAGATCCCCATCAGTCTTAGTCTCTGCCATTTTAAACCCCATGACCATTGATATAATATCTGATGTGTAACCTAACCATGGGAAGGGGCTGTCATCAAATTCAAAAACGGCAGTAGAAAACACGGTGTCCGGCGCCACTCCTGAAACATTTCCTCTTCTCATTATTGGATAAAAACAATTGTGGCAGGTGTCTGTTTCAGGCAAATAATTTGTAATGTTCCAGGCTTCATTTTTCTTCAGAGTGATATTCCAGTGTTCTGTTTCTATTAGAGTTTCTATTTCTTCAGGGACTTTTCCCCAGAAAACTACCTCTGTTACACCTTCCATGATGGAGAAAACATGTTGAATTCCATTTGCACTGACATTCTTGAGATGCAGAAGATCAGCTCTTAGGACATTGGACAAGCATCTTAGTATTCCACTGGTCTGAATTTCTGCTCCCTCAGACCAATGGATCTGACTCCTCTGTCTCTTCAGAATTCCTGTTACTTCTGTCAGTTTCCCAATGGCAAGGTCTTGTGACCTAACATTCATTTTCTCAACTGACTCTGTGATTTCAGAAATAACAGCCACTACTTGGTTGATTTCCATGATGCTATTTACTGAAATATTCAAGGCTGCTTTAACCACAGTTTCCCGAAGGTGAGCCTGGGGGAGCTGGACAGTTGGTATGGTTTTAACAGAGTTTAAGAGTGAGGCTGCAAGATAAATCAAATAACCAGCTCTAAGACGATCACCAATTTGCTGAGCAGATGTGGACACGCTTAAATGGCTTGCTGAATCCAGCAGGTCATGAAACACACGTACAAGGGATTGAGCTCTAAGTGGCCTCCTCACATAGGCACGTAAACTCACCTGGGTAAATGCCCTGAACGCATCACGGACTTGAACGTGAATTGTCAAACGGTACCAACGAGAGGGCATTCCAACTGGGAGAAAAGATGGAGGAGTTTTAGGCTCAGAACCAAAGTACAGAATTGTGCCAAATGTGTTTTCCACCACAGAACTTACTGTGGTAGTCTGGGGTATGTTGGAAGCTACTATCACTTTATATGTCAGAGGTAAATGGCTGTCAGAAAATCCTCTACACTTAACAACAAATTTTGTCTGAAAGGCAAACCCGTAGCGGGGTCTGATGTTACACCTGCCATCCTGAGGTGGAGTATTTACTGCAAAGGGTCTTCTGTAGGAGGTGGACCTACCATCCCAGGTAGTTACGCTTAAGTGAAGTATGTAGGTTGGATATTGAGGCTTTATGAAAGTCATAGCATGTATAGACAGGTAAGCCCCAGACCTCCCCGTTGATGTTTTGGAATCCCAATCAAAATCAATTTCATTAGAGGTGTCTGAAAAAAGGGACCAGTGATATAATGGCTTGTTGCTCGGTTTACAGTTTGAGCATTTTCCAGATAGGGCAAATCTCTCTGTTGGAATTAAACTGGTACCACAGTTTTCAAGGCATTTCACATCCAGAACGAGTGGAGGGCCAGGATCTATTTCTATAACTTGATCAGCATAAGCCATCCTTCTGCCCTTTTGAATCACCAGGCGAAAGTAGTATAAGGTGCTTCCTGGGAGGTATTCTGGTGGTATTGTTTGAATGGGACCTGAGGGTGTTATCCATCTCAAATCCTTCTGGAATGGATGGCATCTGTTTTTCCATTTGAATCTCATGGTTTTATAGTCTGCTAAGTCTTTAGTGCAGTACCAAGTAAATATCAATGGTCTTTCCTCTGAATCAGGATCAGAGGATGCAGAACCATCAAGAGTCCATCTATCAGAAAATTTCACTGTGCGGACAGAGCCTCCTGAGATATTTGCCACTAGATCAGCTCTCTCAATCTGAACATAAATCATATCATGGGCCTTGAGGACTATTGAGGTCCTAACTGGGACTACCTCAGCAGTGAAATAAAACAGATACAACCCATAATCTAAACTATTAGCGGGAACAGTTAAATGTATCATTCTTACGCCAAACATGCTCGAAGTGTTTACTGGCTTTGACCAGTCCGGCTCAGTTTTTGTGTCCACGGCAGGATAGACTTGCCATTGAGGCCTGATAGATATGCCAATGTCGCAGTCTACGTTCAGCTTGACAAAGAGGAAAAATTCTAATGCCCTTTTCTTGTACAAGATAATGGATCTGGGAGTAGGTCTCTGAATCCAACACCTGAGTATCCTACAATTTTTTTGCTTACAAACCACTGGTGCTTCTATGGTTTTTGCAGTGCGGTTGTTGACCCTGACACTTAAAAGAGCCGGTGTAGGTGCACTGCTGGTGCAGTTCACTTTTGCCACAAACCCCGTGTATTTCTCTGCATCAAAGGGTAAAGCAGAGCGACGGACAAAACGCGTGGCATTTTTTACGTGGTCATTGTATGTGTATGTGCTACTCTGGACAATATGGTCTTTTTTTGTGCCAAAAAGCTGCAGATAGAAGGTCCACTCGCACTGAAGCATCGGATGTTGTGTAGGGATAAACCACACTAAATAACTAAAGTTCTGCAGAACAGAAGGACGGGCACTGCTGAAAACGTGGATGTCAAGGTCTCTTTCTGCCAGTGACCTAATCAAAGCCCTCTTCTGATTCATATAAAGGTACATTTTGAACTTGTACCACTGTAAGGCCAGAAACTCTATAGTGAGTAAGTAGGAGAGCTCCTTGTAGTGGTAGAACACAGTGTGTGTGTTGGGACAATCTGTGGAAAAAGTGCTGTTGTCTTTAGATGTGTAAAATGTTCCCTGGTTGTACCTGAAAATGTAAGTGCTGCTCTTGGTCTTCCCTGGACAAAGGTCGACATGTATGGGAGTTTCTTTGCCAGCAGTTAAGCTCAAGGTACCATTGAGCAGGTGCAGTTCCCCCATCAATTCCTCAAACCTCTTTCCATCAACATGGAAATAAACACTGGCCACCACTATCTCATCCAGGCTCTGAGGTGTAGAAATGGCACAGAAGTTGCTTGGCAGTGTAAATGAACTGTAGGAGCAGAGCCAACCTCCTATAGCCTGTGTGTCCACCAGTCTGTAGGCAAGTGTACTCAGGGTAAGGGGCTGAAGCCACCAGGACAAGCTGAGGGGCTGCTGAGGAACACTAAGGAGCTTGGAGCTGACACTGAGGACATGCACCAAGTCAGGCTCCACCTTGAGAGAGAGGTTGAGGCTTATGTGAGGCATCTCCTCAACACTGACCGAAGCAATGTGGATCCCGGGGTGCCTGTAGCGCACAGTCAAGCGGTAGCTGTAGTAGGTGGCACAGGTCTGTTCCAGCTCAACTGTTGGATAGACAGTAGGTGATGTTGTGTCCTGGTGCTCACTGCTGGGAAGGAGAAGGCTCGAGGGGACACCTCCCCGGCTGCTGAAGCGGTACTGCCAGCCAGCACTCTTGAGGCGTGCACACCAGCCCAGCTCCACGGGCTGCCACGCTTGGATAACGCGTGTCTGCGGCCAAAGCACGAACAGCCGCATATCCTGCTCGGCGATCTCCACGCTCACGTTGCGGTGAAAGCACTCGGGTGCAGCGCAGGAGGCAGACGAGCACTGCACTGTAAGAAGGCTGGAAGCCCCGGATGAGGGAGCTTCTGTCTGCAGTACCACCTGGCCTGACCAGCGTGAGATGTTCCTCAGAGAGGCCCCGTTCAGGTACCAGAGGCAGCAAGGTGGGGATGGTGGCTGCCCCACGTCCCCCTCTACCTCCAGCCCTGCTCCTGGGGCGGGCTGGTAATGCAGGGTCACGGTGCTGTTCCACAGGCACGACACCCTGTGCTCGTTGTCCTGCCGCTGGAAGACTTGGCCGTGAGGGCCCGGGCAGCTGACCCGCAGGGGTGACGGCTGGAGACGGACAGGAGACGCTGCCGAGCCCCGGCGGCAGCAGGCGAGCAGCTGCAGAAGGAGGAGAAGGAGGAGCGCGGCCATCGCGGCCAGAGGGGACGGGGCGGAGGACGCGCGGCCTGCCGCGGCTGCTCGTTGGGGTGACCCAACGGCTGGGACAGCAGCCCGAAGGCACCAGAGCCTCCTCCGCAGGGCAGCTGGTGAGAACACTATTTAACCTCGGACACCGGGCCGGGCCGGAAGAAGGAGCAAAGACTTGGGGGCCAATAATCGCCACCGAACTGCGACTGGCGTCCCTCAGCGACGGCGCGGGGACTCCGCGCGTACCCGGCACGCACCGCCCGCCGCTCGCGCCGCTGGCGGCCCCGCCCCCGCTCGCGTCGGAGCCGCGGAGCGGCGAGATTGCAGCGGGACCATGGCTGCGCTGAGGGACTGCAAGGTGAGGGCAGGGCTGGGGACTGCGGGGGGACCATGGCTGCGCTGAGGGACTGCAAGGTGAGGGCAGGGCTGGGGGGCTGCGGGGGGACCATGGCTGCGCTGAGGGACTGCAAGGTGAGGACAGGGCTGGGGACTGCGGGGGGACCATGGCTGCGCTGAGGGACTGCAAGGTGAGGGCAGGGCTGGGGGGCTGCGGGGAGACCATGGCTGCGCTGAGGGACTGCAAGGTGAGGACAGGGCTGGGGACTGCGGGGGGACCATGGCTGCGCTGAGGGACTGCAAGGTGAGGGCAGGGCTGGGGGGCTGCGGGGGGACCATGGCTGCGCTGAGGGACTGCAAGGTGAGGGCAGGGCTGGGAAGCTGCGGGGGGACCATGGCTGCGCTGAGGGACTGCAAGGTGAGGGCAGGGCTGGGAGGCTGCGAGCGGCTGGCGGCGTGAGGGCGGACGGGGCTAGGGGGCTGCGGGGGGACGGCAGGATGAGGGGCTGCGGGGGGACGGCACCGCTGAGGCGCCGAGCCAGCACGGCTCGGTCCTGCCCGTCCCCTGTGCCCAGGGCCGGCGGGGGCCTCCGTGGGGTCCCGGGGGCTGCGACGGGCTTTGGGGCTGTGGCGGGCGGGGAGCTGAGCCGGGCTCGCTGAGGCTGGAGCTCAGCTTCATACACTCGGGTGGGTTCCGGAGGAGGGAAGCTGCTGTTGGGATCTGGAAAAGGGCTTCTCCTTCACCCATCTTTTCTACCGGGGAAACAGACCCATATGTGAGCATTTCTGGGTCTTGTTCCCAGCGCAGGGGTCCCACGGCACCCAGCTGCCCCCTCCGTGGGCCTCAGAAGTGGGTCAGGCCTTCGATTAAATCAGCCTCAGGTCAAAGGGTGCAACCTGCGGGAGCTGCTTACTGATTAAGTAATTTGAGTGCTCTCTTTCTGACAAACTCCTTTTATGGTTGTGTTTTAGTTAATTAGGGCAGTGGCAGGTTAAAACAAAGTCTTGAAGATTGTGTGAGACAGGTGCGTGGTTGACGGAGCTTTGGGGATCTGTCACGCAAGGAGTTCAGTAGGTGCCAACTGCAGCCCACAGAGAGCACAATTCTCAGAGCCAGCTAAGATTCTAGCAGAGGAGAAAATACAAATAAACAGTCAGCAGATCTCATGACTGAACTCTAATCTTAGAGCAGGGGAAAGGGCAGGGCTTTGGTCTCACCAAGAAGCAGTGAGAAGAGCAAAGGCCATGACTCTCTAATACAAGAGGAAAGACTCTCTCCTGGAGTTAGAGGGAGGGCTGTGGGAGATCAGTATAAGAGAACCCAAAGGGAGCCTCTGTGGGAAGGGGAACTGATGATCCTTACAGACTCTTGAAGCTGATTTTTGCCCACTCACATTCCCTCCTGGACTTCTTCAGTCACAGTCTGATAACTCGTTAGAGAGAAGTCCCAGGACCTGAGTGTTCCAAGTAGTCTGGGCAGGACCCCTTATGTATGTCCTAGAGGACAAGGGGTGCTGCCTTTTCTGTGATCCCAGTAGTTCTTTAGCTCTCAGTTGGCAGTGACAGATTAGGTTTGGAACACATCTTTTACATCTCTTAGGAGCCAGAAGCTGCTGTGGGATGGTTCCTCCCTGTAGCCCATTGTACTGCTGTGCTAGCAGTGGCACAGAGTAGTGGCATCCCTGATGTGACACAGTCTTGCTGCCATTCTCCTGTTGCCAGAGTGGGAGTTTCCAGTGAGTCAGGTGGGCTGTAGCCATAGCAGGACAGAGGCTTTCCAGAGTGGCTGGAAATAGCACATACCTCAGCTAGATCAGCAGTGTCTTTAGAGATAGATGCAGGCACATTTTCCACTAACCTTTGTTCTGCCGGTTTGTTCTGGTGCTCACACACAGACTTTTCCATTCTTGTGAATCAGCATCAAGTCCCCTTAGAATGGGACATCATTTTCTGCTTGGCAAGCACCTCAGGCTGTTGTGTAAAACAGTAAAACAGGCAGTGATGCAGAGACCTGCTCCAAAGGAAGCTTGTTTTTGATGACTGATGCTGAGGGTGGCTCCTGGCCTACTTTGCTGGGCACCATGGAAGATAGCCAGTAAGCAGCAAGCCTAACCTTGCTACCTGCTTGGCTTTTCTCTTTATTCTTTTTCTGGGTGATAAATGACATAGAGAATAAAAATTTTCAGCTCCCATGAGGCTGCTGAATAGAGCTTAAAGACTAACTGGCAAAAAAAGATAAAGGGATATATATATATATAAAAGATAAAGGTTTATATAGGTATATATAAACCTATAAAGATATATTTATAAATAAATGTATATATATATATAAAAGATAAAGGTTTAAAGGTATGCACACAGGATTATAAACATGGCTGGAACCAGTGGAGAAACAGATAAGAAGGACTGCAGTGTTTTTTTGCCAAGTTACATAACTCAGAAACAATAGCACATGACCAAAGAAAAAGTTCAAGGAAAGGTCACCTTTAATATCAAAGCATTCAGTGAATATGACCACCAGAGACCCCTTTTTATGACTCTCCAGGTCCAGAAAAGAACTTCCAACAGGAGGAAGATGCATGAAAATTCATTCTAGGAATTAGTTCTGTATATTAGATAAGAAGCATGTATTAATAAATATGTATGATTATGGTGGATAAAGAAAGACTTTGTTGCAAAGTCTCACCACACCCACAGAGCAGAGTGTGTCCTGTACAGATAACAAATGCCTGCTTCCTAGTGCTTCAAATTGTGTTAGGAAGTTTATTCCAGCCAATTTCAGTATTGTGGATGTAGTATGAATTTTAAAGAAAATGTGTAATTTTAGATTCAGGTCTAGTCTTTCAGGCATGTAATTTGAAGACTCAGTTGCTTTAGCTGTTGGAATGTGAGCCTTTAATCCAATCACAGTGGGAAAGCTTTAGGATATATTAACAAAGTTGTCTTTGCCGGGTTACTTAAAAATTTTGACGGATTATTATAGCTAGGAAATGCTTTACAGTGTGAAATGAGAAGAGCTGAATTCTTGCAGCATCAGGAAGGACTAAGCCCCCATTAGGAGAAGTCTGATTAGCTTGCCCCAGGTCTGTTTTTATAATAGTTGTCTATCTTCCATATTCTGTGTACTGCATTAAAGTAATGCTGAAGTGATCGGGGCAGCTTCTCAAGCGAACTCTGCTCATTTGCCAGCAGTCAGCCAGGAGATGTTGTGCCTCAGTCATGTTATGCTGCTAGAAACTGTGGCAGCCCAATTCTGTTTTGCTTTTTAGCTTTATCCATTTCCCATGTTCTTACTGTTGTTAGGCTTGTGTGTATAAATGTGTGATCCAAATTTTCAGTTGGCTAACTCCAGAGACTGAGTGGATTTGCTCTGCCAGGCTGTTTGGTCTGCAAGTTGATTCAGAAGAACATTATTGTTTGAAGAAGATTACAGATTTATAGATTATAGGGTTTTATTTTACCATGTTTCTACTTCACACGAGGTGTGCCTGTAGCAGAGGAACTCACCAACAGCTCTAAAGAATTCAGAATGACGGGTGCTGGGGCAACCCATCGAGATCTTCTGGTACTTGTTGGCTTCTTTAGTCTCACAATTAGCTCCAACTAATTGAGTGTTGATGTAACTGCAACTGAACAAAAGGTTTGTTTCTGCCTCACACTGTGCTTCCAACTTTTCTTTTTAAAAGTGCACAGGGGATGAAAATACTAGAACAGCTTCATTTTGAACATCTGTCAGTGTCAGGAAGATGAGGGTGTAAAAGGAGCACGTTTGTGTTTGTTTGTTGTGCAGGCCTGGCAGGATGCTGGACTTGTCCTGTCCACGACCAGCAATGAAGCCTGTAAGCTCTTTGATGCTGTGCTGACACAGGTATGACTGAAAATGGGATTCGAAGGGAACACTCTTTACTGTAGCTGATATTTAAATTTCTTATCAGCTGGGAGAGCCTCAAAATGAGGCCACCACAGGAGTTCAGCCTTTAACTGGCTGCAGGAAACCCTTTTAGCAGAGGGCTGTACCAGATGCTGCAGCTGTGGTGAAAACCTCAGCCAGTGAGCTCATTCCACTTGATGCCAACACATCAGCCAAAAACCCTCTAGAAATCCAGAGTAATTGGTTCTGCTGGTGACTGAATTATATTAAACCCCAGTTTTTCTGGCTTTTTACTACACTAAACCTTCCAGAATGCAACATTTGTCTTTTAGTCATTTGCCTTGCTGTTGAATTTTAAGTGTCTGTGAGAACAAAAAGAAAAAATCCTCCTTATCATAGAGGATTTCTCCACCCTCTCTTGCTCTGCCTCTCTTATAGTATGCAACTTGGACCAATAATGAGAGCCTTGGAGGTATTGAAGGATGTCTCTCCAAGCTAAAAGCAGCAGATCCAAACTTTAGTGAGTATAACCTTTGATTCTGAGCATTGGAAGTGCTGGGTTAATGCCTGTTGTCTTGGTATTTAACTGGCTTGGTATATTCAAGGGGAAGGTGATAATTTATAGAATTCTGTAAAACTTCCTCAAACTGTAGAGCAGGCAGAATGCTTTTGTGTGGTGTTTTTTTCCTTTTCATTTCACATAATATTTGAGTGGCTGTCATGAAAACCTTCTGAGAACTTTAGGCTTGGGAGACTTCCTAGACCCCTGTGTCCACAAGTCAGTTTTATTGAAAACGCTCAGCTCCTCTGGTGTTTTGTGGAGCTGAAGGCTCTGCCGTGAGCTCAGCTGGTGCTGTGCTGTTTCCTGCAGCAATGGGACATGTCATTGCCAATGGCTTGGAGCTGATTGGCACTGGCAGGACCGTGAGGCTCGACAGGGAGCTGGACAGCGCCGTGAGAGCCATGGTGGCACTTTCCGAGTCACAGCCACTGACAGAGCGGGAGAGGCTTCATGTGTCGGCGTTGGACGTGTTTGCCAGGGGGTGAGTCCTGTGCCACCCTGCTCGAGGGGCTGGCAAGAGTTCCTTTGTCTGCTGCAGGCAGAAGTGAAGGTTGGCAGCAGTGGTGTGTCATGGTGGCTGACCTCTAGCAGAGGATCAGGGTGAGATGTCACAGATTGTCCCTGAATTTCTCTCTTCACCCCAAGTGCCATGTCTAGCTGGTGAGCAGCACTGTAGAAAGTAAAGTGCTCTATTGCCACCACTTCCTAGTGTTAAGCACTCCAAGTTTAAAATGTGCAACAGATCCATCAGTGTGGTTTAGAACTAGGAAATGAAGTATTTTTCTACAGTAGGGTCCAGACTCAGATGCACAGACAGAAAATTACAGACTTCTCTCTCTTGTCTCCCTATGTCAAAACCTATTTTCCCTGTAAAACAGGGAGGTAAGAGTGTCACACTGTGTGCTGTAGAGGCACACTCCTTCATTCCATATGATAAATCTGTATGAACTGCAGAACATATGGGCTAATGATTCACTTTCATTATTTGTTTGCCAAACAATTGGGCAAGCATGGATTTGCCTCACATCTCAGCAAAGGAAATGAGTAAGCTACTGAGGCCCTGCCACTGGGTTTGATTCCCACAAAGGAGAGGGAAGGCGTCTTTTTACATCCAAAGTTCCATTAATTATGGTGGGTCCCTCTAGGAACTATTCAGCCCTGGAGGAAAATTTTTAGGTTTATGGTTTAAGCTTGTTTCATTTTCCTTGTGTGTTACAGTGATTTGGTGTAACCCAACACGATTTCTTTCATAAGATTTCTCAGAAGGTGCCAAATGAAGATAATCCTATTATTATCTTAGAAAAGACTAAAGAATTCCTTCAAGGAAGACAAGAAGTCATTTGGTGATGAATTTTCTATTTCAGCATAGTTTGAGTTCAGGACTAACAGTAGGGGCAGGCGTGTGTCCCCTCTTTCGGTGATGGAAATATTTTTTTTATTTCTAGCCAACTTCCAAAAGCTTGTGATCTATGGGAGCAGATTCTGCAGAGCCACCCCACTGATCTGCTAGCCCTCAAATTTTCCCATGACACTTATTTCTACCTGGGATACCAACGCCAGATGCGAGATTCTGTTGCCCGTGTTTATCCTTTCTGGACCCGTGATGTTCCACTGAGCAGGTGAGTCATGCTTCACTTGGAAATTGCTCTTTACCTGGTGTGCAAGGACTATGTGGTTTTTAAAAGTTCAGGATCTTTTGGAAATAAGACATGTAGACAAAAATCAAGAGTCTAGAAATTAATCAAACTTGACCACGGATAGAACGTGTATCCCTCTTGACACTGTTGGTGAGGGATTTTTCTTAAGTGAGCTGTGTCTCACTACTAACAAATATAGCACTTGGTGTGTAACACATAGGATAAAATCATGTCCTCACCCAGGGCAGTGGCAAAATTTCTTCATTTCTTCCAAAAAAATACTATTCATCTTGATCCACTAAATAAATCAGGTGCACATAACATCCCTATTTTTTTATTTTTATGGCTTAATGGGGATGATTTACAACCAGTTTTAAAGGGCCACTTCATGTAAAAGTACCCTCCTGTGGTTTTGTGGGCACTGGGGAAAATGTAGAAGATTGCCTTTGAGATGCTCAGATAGCTTTGGTGATAGCAGTGTCTCACTTCTAGTCTTTTAATTCTGCATCTTCCAGCTGTTTTGGAGATCAGCAGCTGGTTCTGTGTAGCTGGTGATTCCATCTCATCCAGAGATGGAAATGTCCCTTCTGATGTGCATGTTGTCACTGTTTGCCATACTGGTGTCTCAGGGTCACTCATTTCCTCTGAGAATTAGCTTGGTAGTTCTGTATCCTGTGAGCTTGAACCTTGTTGTAAATTGCTCTGCAAGGACTTTTTGAGTTAAATGCTCTTTCTAATATGTGTTTTCAGTCCTGGACTAAGCCTTGTTATAAATGGATGATGTGTTCTTTTTCCCCCTTCTGTTAGCTATGTGAAGGGCTACTACTCTTTTGGACTTGTGGAAACAAACCTTTTTGACCGTGCTGAGGAGGTTGCCCATGAGGTAAACTGCCTGCTGTTGGTGCTGAGAGGCTTGAGAATTCTCAGACAGGGTGTTGGTTCCTGCCAGTTGTTAGTCAAAGCAGCAAAGAGATACAGCTCATCATGGAAATGCTCACAGATCTTTGTGAGACTTGTTGATAACTCTTTTCACATCTCTGCCCCACCAAGGCAGTTTCACTGGACTGCATTCCCCTCACTTGCTCATGAGCATGCCCTGTCAGATGGGGTCAGAACACCCCTATAAAATCCATGTATCAGCCCACCTGCTGCTTCCCACATGTATAATTGGCTGTTTGCTCCTATTAAAGAATGTTGGATTGTTTTGACATAGTCTGCTCTCAACAATCAGTCCTGTTTGGCTTCCTGCTCCCTTTTTGTCCCCTAGATGCTTGTTCCTGGATTATTGAACGATTAGCTGTAACAATGTTCCTGGGGATCAGGATCAGCCAGCCTGTTTCCTTTCTATGAAGATAGTAATTACACTTGACTTTCTCCAGTCCTCAGGATTATCCCTGTCCTCCAGGAGTCTCAGACACAATTAATCTCTAATGGGTGTTCTTGGCAAAACTTCTGTTACATCAAATTGCTGAAAGTGAAAATAGAGACTAAACCCTAAAACTTAGCCTTTACTAACATGCCAAAAGCCTAATGGGAGCTGTGGGCCAAGGAAGAGGAATTGGCTGAATACTCATAGCTGGCCATTTTTTGGAAAAGAAATAGTTATCTGCAAGGCACTATATGATGGAATATATTGTGCCTGTGCCTGCAGTTCTTTCATTGATGCATGTCTGTGAAATAGGTGTCATTTCACAGTCATCATCAAAGCCTGTGTTTTAAAGTGTTATGCAGGTGTTCATCTCCCTGCAGCAGAAGTTGGGAAATGAAGTCAGCCAAGAAACATTCTCTTCCTTTTCTGTCCAAATCAGACTTCTGGGCTGTGGTTAGTTGGAGTGGTACAAAGATGTACTTAACATGCAGCAAGTAAAAAGTAGTCTCTTGTTCCTAGATAAGCAGTGATAAATGTCTGCATTTGCAAGTTTGTAAGGCTCATCGTGTTTTCCTGTTTTTCACTCACAGGCTTTGGCTATAAATCAGACAGATGCATGGTCTGTCCATACTATAGCTCATGTAAATGAAATGAAAGCTGAGGTGGAGAAAGGCTTAAAATTCATGAAGGAAACAAAAAAGAACTGGAAGGTAAATGTTTTTGTGGCATCTCTGAAGAAGCTATTTTTAGGTTTTCTTTAATTCCTGTAGCCAAGTTCTTGAGTCCTCTGCCTGCAGTTCCTTCCTATCTGCAGACCTGTTACAATCAATGCAGACTTTGCATATTAGAGGAAATCCTACTTTGAGGTGCTGCTACTCTCCATGCAGCTTTTAAGCAAGAGGCAGGAAGAAGTGGCACGTTATGAGGCACATGACTGTCCCTATTTGTGATCTATTGTGTGGTTATGAAGGTAAAGTGACCACTGATTCTTTCATAAGCTTTTGACTTAGGCTGATGTATGCCCAGATAGTCAGTTGAAGGACCTGGCTAAATCTCCTCATGAGACCTAAGGTGAAATGGAAAATGGCACAGTCAAATCAGCTGTTTCAAAACACTAAAATACTTGTTTGCTTCTGGATGGGGAGGGGATTTCAAGAACAAAGAAAAGAGAAATTATGCTCTTACATATATTCTAATGTACTAATTACTTTTTAGTGTACCAGTTACCTTATATATCCAACATGTTTGATACCATCTTTCAGAGTATTGAACAGGTTAATTAGTCTGTTACATGGTCCTTTGCTGTAAATCAAGTTTTATTTTGTGTTTGATAGCATGTACCCAGTGATTAAGTTTGTTACATTCAGAGCTGACAGCTGTGAGGTTTGCCTTTGCTAGAACCCACAAGAGTCTATTTTAGAGTCATCTGAGCTGACTGTCCCACCTCACACCAAGAGCAGGACTGTACTGTAGTAAGACTAGAAAGGCTGCTTTTATGCTTGTTTGATTTTTTAAGTTTAGCATTCAGATACTGGGCTTGGAAGCGCAGACAGAAAACTCTTGCTTGAAGTTCACACCTGTCACTTCCCAGAAAGCATTTTGTCTTTTAATATGTTAGTTTTAATGAAACTGTGATTGACAGTTTGGGTGATACCTTAAAAACCCCAGTCAGTGATTTCTGGATCCATTTTTTTTTAACTCTTGGTTCTTAAAATAGTTGCATGTCTCTGTGATTCATACTCTTTTATCCAAATACAATCAAGTGCAAGCCCACTTCTCTCTAGCAGTTTAATCTTTTTCAGAGCTCAAATTTAGCAGCAGGGAAAGAGTTTTGCTTTATTTAGTGAGGTAATTCCGTAATCTTGTTTGTATGACATTTGGAATGGCAGTGTGATATTCAACTTGATATTATCAGTGTTTATGCCAAGCACATAACTGCTTCTGTTGCTTGGGTTTGGTTTGTGATTTAATATTAAACAAGAAAAGATTACCAGAATGTTTATCTTAGAAGCCCTGACATTTATTGGGAACTTTTACCTTTGTGCTTCCTGAAAGTGGTTGTTACAGTTGTCAGTATGACAATAAAGATGATTTTTCCACTTGTGAGACCATTAAGTTTAACTACAGAACCAGGAGAGAGTGGGAGGAGAGGGGTGAACCTTTCTGATACTTTAATTTTCACCAAAGGATTCTGGAACTACATTGGTCTGTTTTTGATGCATTCACAAAAATGAGCTGCAATTGCCTTGAAGTGCAGGCTGGGGAAGGGGATTGGAAGTTCTGGTGCCAGCTGGAAAGGACAGTGTGAAATTGGTGCAGTTCAGCAAAAGTTCATCTCACCTGATGAGCTGCCAGTGTGTTTGGCATCTCTTGCAGCTTCTGTAGCCTGTAGTAAAACTTGTTTAAAAAGTGATTCCTCTTTGTCTGAGGTAGGTTCTATGAATGGCCCTCAAAAGCCTCCATATCCTCCTCTCTCCACTATCTGGCCAGGTTACTTCAGACAGACAAGATGCCTAAATTTTAGATGAGACAAATCTTACTCTTAGAGATGTGGATTAAATTTATTTTTTAAAAAGGCTGCTGAAGAAAGATGAATTCTGAGGCATCCAAGTGAAACTCTTATCTGAAAAATGATGTGGGGGGAACCTTGGGTTTGGGGTGTTGCCCTGAATAGCTACAAATGTACCAAATGAGAAGGTGTCCTTGCAGCTGATTTAAATTTCTTGTCTCTTTTGTGTCTCCTGAAGTACTCAGTTTTGCTGAAGGAGGAAACAGAAATCTGACTAGATAACTTGAAAAGGGGAGTTATTTTGTAAATAATTTTTTTTTCTCTCCAGAGCAGTGATATGCTTGCTTGCCATAATTACTGGCACTGGGCTTTATACTACATTGAAAAGGTATGAGATATTTTCATACATGTGCTTTATGGTCTAGATAAGTTATCTAAAGCTCTTTAAAAGGCAGAACTAACATTTCCTTGGGGGGGTCAGCTATTTAAAGGGATGTTTTTATAAAATAGTACAATTCTATATTTACAAAGTGGCATGGTCCTTTATTGTTGTTATTTTGAGAATTTTAATTGCATTGGTCATCTTTCTGAGAATGTTGAAATATTGCTTTGAGATTATTGCATGTTTGAAGATCCAATAGTCTTACTAATTACATTTAGCACAGTTATTTAATACCAAGATGAACGTAGATCTCTAATTTTGAGACAAAAATTAACAAAATTCTTAGCAAATTCAGTACTCATTTTCTGGCCCAAAAATTTGCTGACTATAAAAAAAGAGGCCATAAACTCTAAATTGGGTTGCCAATGCTATTAATTATTGTAACTAATTCTTACTATTGAAAGCCTTTAAAAATGGTTGAAATTTTACCCAACCTGTCAGAATTTCCTTGGATTTAATGCTTAGCACTCGTGGGGCTCAGCTTAATAGGGAGATAAATGTGGCATCCTTGAGAAGGCAGCATCCTTTGGCCAGAAGGCAGAGGAACACAGAAGGAACATAATTCTCAACAGGAGTCCAATAGTTTATTTATTTGGTCACTTCCTATCTACATAACTTTTTGAAGGCTGCTTAAAGCTGCTTTTTCCCATCTCTTTGCATACACCATGGGATGCACTGATTTTTGCAAATAGCTCTGAAAGGAACATTAGCATGAGAGGCAATACTTCTATGTTTCTCCTTCTTGCTCAACTTGTGCCAGTATTGGTACTTATTCTTAGTGGGAACCTCAACATACTGATCATTTTGCCTATTAAATCCAGGTTTTTCTGCTTTGAATACCTCAAGGTTTCTTTGGCTTGGTTTGTTTTGATCAGGCAGTCCTGAAGAGCTGTTATGATGTCTGTTAATGTGTTTGTCTCTGGTTGCTGTGTCTGCACATTAACCACACAGTCCTCCTTTGCTTTTCCAGGGGGAATATGAAGCTGCTTTGACAATTTATGACAAGCATGTGAGTAGGGGCCTTTTTATCTTTACTGAGATCATACAAGATCATGATGTGATGATGGTGATGTGTGCTTTCTTCCTTCTGTGTGACATTGAAACCTATCACAGTGCATGATCTGTGTATAAATATTGTTCACATCTGTTACCACAGTCTTTTAGGGAAACAACTTCTCAGCAGTTCTGGGGAAAATGCCCCAAGGATTGAGTGTTACATAATTTGAGTGCTTGAAAGAGCTGCAGTGGTACTGATTTCCATTCTGTCCATGTTTCTTATTCATACCTTTCAAAGGTAAATTAGTCAAAGGATGTCTACAAAGATCTAGTTTTGCATGTTAGGTACAAAGTAAACTGAATTTCAAAACAACGTTTGTAAATAAGCAGTATCAATTTAGATAACGTAGCACATCTTTGTAAGGATTGTAAAAATACTGCAAGCATTAGGAAAGCTGCTGGGCAGATTTCTATCTGCTAACATTGATCCAGTGAAGTAATATTTGTGGCAGAATTTTGGCAAAGATAAAATACTGTGGTGACTCCCTATATTTACTGAGAAAACACATGTAAATCATATAAATTTCTGTCATTGCAAATTCCTTTATTCAAGAAAAATGCAATTAGAACTATTACAAAACAAGTAATTTTGAATTAATAGAAGGATAAAATTAATTTAGTACTGTGAAAATAAGTTTGATAATCTGAGGAAGATTTCACTAGTGCATCACTTGGCTAGCCTATGAGTCCTTGTGATTACAGATTGCTCCCGTGTGCCTGGCAAGTGGAAGCATCCTGGATATAGTTGATAACTGTTCAATGCTGTACAGGCTTCATCTGGAAGGTAGGATATCCTCTGGCCATTCTGTTTTATAACTTTTTCTTTTTCCTTTCCCCTGCCATTCATGTTGGGGAAGTATTTCAATATAATTGAAGCAAGCTCAATCAATGTGGCAGAAAAAACTTGAGAAAAGCATCATTTTGAAGTTCCTAATGTCCATAAGCTTTATTCTTCCCAAAAGTTTCAATTTTCTATGCCAGTGTGGCATAGCAGTCAGCTCCAGCTAGCATAGGTCACATACTTCTTCTCTGACAACTTCACTTCTATTGTTCCTGGAGTCTGAGGCTGAGCAAACAAGTGCATAAGCCTCTAAAAACCCATAGCACTTTCTGGATGTAATTTCCAGTCACATCCTTTTTTTTCTGTTTTGATCCTGATTGAAATAGTATGGGTGTATCATCCTCTGGCTTTTGTACTCCCCTAACTCAGTGGCATTTCCCCTTTTAAGTCAGTGTTTATACACCAGGGTTCATGGCAGGGGACATGATGGGCAGACAGTATTTCACACTGTTCTGCTAAAACACTAATGATGTATTGGGGTTTTTATTAAATCCATCTTCTCACTCTGTCTGTGATTCCTACAGATGGCTCATGGTGAACAGCACCTCCAAAACATTATGAGCAATCTCATAACAAAGCCAGAAGCTCACACAATGCAGGCTAAAATAAACCTTTAAACTCCTGACAGTCAAGAAACTCTTGGCCCATGTAAGGCAGGCTGCAGCTGAGCATTATTGCTGCATACATTTTGCTCCATCAGGAAATGTTGAGTTCAGTGGGAATGCATTTTATGCTGAATGGCTGGCAGTAATTGCAAAGTTGTACCTTCTCATGTGGCAATGTTATTGAGAGAAGTGTTTTTTACTCTTAGGTGTAAAGCTTGGGAACAGGTGGAATGATCTGCTTGGGGTTGCAAAGAAGCACACCAAGGATCACATTCTTCTGTTCAATGATGTGCACTACTTGATGTCTTTCCTTGGAGCCAAAGACCACAAAGCTACTGAGGAGCTTTTAACAACTCTGCAGGAACTTGCCAGGTAAGCAATGGAATTACTGCACTGGGTTCAGTGGACAGCCCTCTGAACTTCAGGGCAGTGATGCAGTGATGTCTCTGGCTTGCTGAAGCTTCAACACGCTGCTCCCTGCCTTAGCATGTCACTGGGACACATCTGGTTTAAGCAGGGCAACATCCAGCTAGGAGATCCAAACTATTGTCTATTTATTGAGTTAAGGTCTAGAGAGGTTCCTCATGTTGTTGAGCAGAAATCTTTTGTGTTTGAGGTCATGGACACCACCTGAGCAGTTGCTGTCTGTTCCTTTAGTGAGGTCACACTGCTGTGTTACAGACAAGGAGTAAAGTGTATTAATAAGAACATTCTACAGGTTATGTCAGCTGGCTGTGGTGGATGTTTTCTGCTCTAGTTTAAAAGGTTAATAACAGAACATTAGTTGGTAGTGATATTCTAATGGCTACTCTTTGATGTGTTGTTAAGTCCTCCTGCAGGAAATAAGGCTTCAAGTACTACTAAAATAATAATCTAGAATATTTCACTTTCAAATTAGGTTATTTGAAAATGTTGAATATTTAAGTACTACATCCAAATGGTGAAGGTTTTGTGTTCCCTTAGGTATTAAATGACTGTGAATTGCCTTGTTTATTGTTTTTAGGGGTTGATATACAGATGCTTTAAATTCAATTTCTTCCCTCTACTACACCCTTTTTTCCTCTGTTTAAGCATCTGTTGCTTCCTTTGCCTTGAAAAAGAAGGAAGGAAGGAGAACCTGAAATTGTCACTATTTGTTCCTGACTATATGTAGTTTTGAGGAATACTGTAATTTTTAAGAATACTTATCAAAACAAATAACTTTCAAAGCAAGCCTGTCTCATTTAACTAAAGTAGAAAACAGAAAATATCTATTGTTATTTGTTCTATTATTTATATAAATATGTCAGGATATATAAAGTATAGAAAACTGTCCACCAGAGGCTTTAATGAACATGTGTTCATATATGTTATTTCTTCTTTTGCCCAGTGCTTCCTTTCACTTAATTTCAGCCTTAATAATACAATACATGTGTACATTTTTAGCTGTAATTTGAAAATTATAAAGCTTCATTTCATTATTTGAGAAAGCAGGCTGTGAGCTGAAGGGACTATATTAATGATTTGATTAATTTACGTCTATCACAAATATGTAATAAATAAATGATACCCCAGAGGCGTTTTGTATGTGTTAAGAAAGCAGTTTTACAACCTGGGCACAAACAAACATCTGGCATTGCACCAGTATTTTTGCCTGGCCTTAGCCATGGAAAGTTGCTGGGAATTTGTCGGGTGTCCCATGGCGCTCTCTGGTGGTTGGTGTCACAGGCTCCTTTCCGTGGAAATGCTGGACAAGACGTGGAAATGAGGAATTGTTCCATCATTTTCATCACTGGCTGTCTCAAGCTGCTTCAAATGAACATCAATTGTGCACTTTTATCTTTCTAGGATGCCACAGTTTGTTTAAGGAATGATAAGCACATAGGGTAGGGTTGCCTACTGGATAATGAAGGCTGGCCCAGGGAAAGAAAAGGAAGTTTTGTAAGGCTGACTTGAGAAGGAGCTGGCTTGCAAGGTCATGACTGGGAGCTGTGTGCAAGGACTGGTGGCCACATGTGGCCAGACAAAGGACTAGCAGTAGGATGTTCTGGTGGGGTCAGCACAGGAGAAACTGCAGTTTTCTTACTCTCCTAGCCCAAACTGTTCATTGCAGAGCTAGGAGGGGTTGGGCTTGTGCCTTTTGTGGGTATATTCAGGAGGATAAAAACTGATTGCTGGATGAGTAACAAAAAGGTGAAAGTAGCATAACTACACTGAAAGATACGACCTAAGTCAAGTACCTGAAACATCAGGCTTTGTACAGAAAAAAGAAATAAAAACCTGTCTGCAGGCAGGGGCAGACTAACATTGGAATATGGCTATTTATGCTTTGGCTTATGGAAGTTAACCACTTTTTCATTCTACAGAGCACCTCGTGAAGACCACCAGCTTTCCCTGGCTCCTCGTTTGGGGCTGCCACTGTGCCAGGCTTTCATGGAGTTTGAAAATGGGAATTGTGACAAAGCTGTCGACCTGCTCTACCCAATCCGTTATGAACTAGTCCAAGTGGGAGGCAGTGATGCTCAGGTAAAGGAGATCCAGAAAAGACTTTTTGATGTGACTCAATCCCCTCTCAGTAGCCACCATGAAGCACTTACCTCATCAACAGCATTCAGTGTTAGACAGTGAAAAGCTGAACTCTGCTTGTGACTGATCCTGTTTGCAAACACTTACTAGCAGGGTTAGCTATTTATTTTTAATGTTGATTTGTTTCCTTCCTGTGAATTTAATAGTTTGGTAACCAAGACATTGTAACCAGCAACACATTATAAATTACTTATTAGTTTGTATTTTGCTGACTTTTTTTTCCAGAGAGATGTTTTCAGCCTGTTGTTGATTCATGCTGCTTTAAATTCTAAATCAAAGGCCAAACGAAACCTTGCAAGGTGAGTATTTCCCCTGATAAATACTTGTAGAAGTAACACTGTTGCTAAAAGTAAGGAGTAATGAATATACTCTAAAAGTAAGAAGTAATGAATATATTCAAACCAATAAATTTAAGGCTAAAATTATATGCAAGCATTTGTGTTAAATGTAGCAACACTTAACCAGGATAGAAAGTACAACAGCTTCCAATTCCAAAGGTCCACTCTTTCAGCCTGGATGGATGATCTGTGTATGTTCAAGGGCAGTTGATTTTCAAATGGTTCCGGATTTTCAAATGGTTCTGTCTTCAACTATAGCCTGTTGACCACGTGTGTTATGGACTGCTAAGCTTCTGTGAACTGCTGCAACTCCAGTCAGTGCCACTGCTGACATCTGCTTTGCTGGGGGCTCAGAGGTGTGCTCTGCCACCTGGGCTTGCCCCTCAGCACGGAGCACAGCCTGTCTGGCAGAACAGTCCATGTTTATCACCCACTGCTCACCCTCCTGCCTCTCCTTTCACAGGTGTCTCCTGCATGAACGTGATCTGCTGAGACCCAAGTCACCAATGACCGAGCGACTGATCAGGAAGGCAGCAGCTGTGCACTCCATGGCATAGGGCTTTCCTCCAGCTTCAGCTGGAAGAGCCAGGAGCTTTCCACAAAGCCTGGGTGCAGGGAGTGCAGGGGTGCTGTGAAGGAATTTAAGGAGGTACTCAAGGTTAAAAAGATCTGAGAATTATTTCCTTAAAAAAAAGACAGAGCTGTTGCATTTCTGGAGGTTGTGCTTTAGATGATTCCACAAGGAAAGAAGAAAACTTGTGATAATGCAAGCAAAACTAGCTGACAAAACTTTCTGAAGCATCCCAAAGGCACTGCTGCCCTGGTATGTTTTCCTGAACATTCCCTCTGACTCTGATTATGCACAGTGCAGTAACAGTGCCTGGATTTCAGTCCTTCTTTGGCCAAGTTTGTTACTTGGCCTACATGTGAATTTTAGCTGCTCAGGTAATTCAAAGGGAGCTTTTAAATAAAGCTAATAGGAAGATGCAGGGCCAGAGCAAATACAGGCATGAACTGAATTCCATATTGAGCTTCCAGCCCATTCAGGCAGGAGTCACAGATCTGTCTGCATTCAGGATCTCTTTCCAGGTGTACATTTTTAAACTCCCTCTCATAAAATGTTAAATTTTTCCCCCCAGTATAGCACATCAGAGCTTTCTGGCATTACTGGGTAAATGCAACCAGACAAGAATAATGACTACTCTGACATGGGTGCTCCCTCAGCACTTTTAAATCTTTGAGAAAAAGGGAAGAGCCTGGATTTCAGCTGAACAGTACCATTTCTGAAGGGTTGTTGGACTAGGTCTTTGTGCTTCCCTGAGCTTTTGGATAGTCTGGCCTTACCACCATCTCACTCCAGAGAGGCTCTGCACATTGGCAAAGTGGGGTTTAAACTAGAGGTGAAGGCCAGGAGGGAGCTTCTGCCAGGGGAAGGAGGGCTCAGGGGGACGGGCACAGCTTGGTCCCATCATGTGTGATGGGATAAACTTCAGTGCTGCAAGTCAGGCACAATGTGAGCCACAGGCCTCGAGGGAGCTCTGGTGCCTCTGGATTCCTGCAGCGTCCCAGAGCTAACACACTGTCTTGCAAAAGTATTCCAGAAATCCCTAATGACAGGGAAGATGGTATTTCAGACCAAAATTGAACTCATGCCTCCTCTTCTGGAATAGAAGTCCCACACTCTGCTCTGCCCAAGCTCTGGCTTTGTTTCCACAGCTCTCCTGGCCTCACAGGCTCCCCCTCCTTCCTATCTAGCTCAGGCTTTTCCCCATGTCCCACAGCAGCCTTGTCCTACAGTTTCCTTTTGACCTAACAAAGCACTTCCATAGCTGGCCCTGCACTGCCCTTGGAGTTCCTGCATCGTGGAACAAGAGGTAGAAGTGCTTTGCTGACATTTTGCTTTACCCAATCCTACCATGATGCAGAAATAGCTTATTTTTAAAGGAAGAATAATAAAACCATGTAAGGGATTGCATTCCTTGCCTTCAGGTGTTCTGATGGATGAGCATGCTGTTCTTCAGCAGACAGCTTGTCTGCTCAGCCATGGTGGGGATGACTCACCTGGGACACGTTACACTGGATTTTTACTATTATTTTTAATAAGTGCACTTCAGGCAATGACTTTAGACAGGTAACTTTTTACTCGAGGAATGTAACAAATTGTATAGGGAACAAAAGCCCGAGAAAAGCCTGGCTATGCAGGGTGTGATCAATGTAATCAAGGACAGCTCTACTTTCAATAGAACATGACTGAGAATTTTGTCTGCTTTGCCTTAATAAATTCAAAGATGATCTTTGTTAAGCTTGCCAGTACATGACTTCTTTCCATGTGTGAAGCTTTTAAATGTGTTATTCAGCCTAATTTCATAGATGTGTAGCAGTGTGCACCCACTTTGTTTCCATCACAGTGGCCAGAAGCATGCAGCAGCGGAGAGCAGCAGCATCTGTGCTCGCACAGGTCACAGCCCAAGTGTGACACAGGCTCCTAGAGGTTTTCCTTGGTGCCAGTTAGGAAGAGGCTGAGGTGCCATGAGGTAGGTGAACCACTGTTTCTTTCTCATCCTCCTGCATTCAGAGTATGCATTTTCCAGCTTTCCTCCCCCTTCAGCTGAGTTATCCAGACTGCAGCTCTCACCCCTAGTCCGGCCCTCTGATGGAAAAGCCAAAGCCCTGTGCACCAGAGAGCTGCATCCATCCCTGCTGCAGGGTGGGTTGGACCATGGAACAGCTCTGCAATTCCTGTACTGCTGTGTCCTTGCTCTCTGTGTGTGGTGATCTGGACTGATCCTAAGCTGTCAGCATCTCACTGGCACCCTCCCCATACAGGCATGGGGCTTTCTACAGGTGCCTGATTTAGAGTCTTTAAAAGTTACTCATCTGCATATTAAAAAACGTACACCCTTAGAACCTCTCAATATCTCACTACTTCAAGATTTAAAACCAAGAGTTCTGCCACTACCTCAATTCTTTCACCTTTTCTTAGGACTTCATTAACTGCTCAGAGCAGCTGTTTAATTACATGAAATCTAACCAAACTACCCCACCACTTTAATATTAAACATCTCCTAGTTAGGAAGTTAATTTACAGAAATATTCTCCCCTTAGCAATTAGCTGAACACCTACCCTACAATAGCAGTCCAAGTGTGCAATTCCCTGATGTAGAAACACTGAAGGAAGACAGGGAATGCAGGCAGGAGCTTGTGCACTCAGCATATTTAGTCTTGCCATGTTTATGTAAAGACAAACTGCACACTGAAAGTGCCTGAACACGGGTTTTATTTGCAAATACAGCAAGCTCAGTAATTCAGGAATTCTACAGGCAAACAAAAGAAAGAAAAATCTTTAAAAGTGTTAAAATCTTCTCCACGTGTTTTCATTTAGTTCTAAGTAATTTTAGTAAGATTTTCTGGATTTATCTGTTCCGTTCTTCTTGGGAAGAACTTGCTGTCTTTGAGTGGTTCACAGATTTCTATCACAGATGCAAAAACCTTAGAGGCTATTGGTTTTTCTGTAAAGCTTATCTGAAGGTAAAAATTACTGCTCCTCTGTCCTCAGTCCCAGCTTCCCTCTGAACAGCTAAAACTGCCTGAATATGGCATTTTGTACAGAGGGCCTTCAGTTTGATCCACTTACAGACTCCCTGCTAAAATCCAGTAGAAATTGCAGAGGTTTCTGACCCAGGATCACCCCCAAACCAAAAAGAGGATCCTCACTTGTCAGCACCCTGCCCCATGCAAGTGGGCAGCAGAACATGTAGACAGTGCCTTGGGACAGCACTTCTACCACTGGCCTCAGGAGAACCTAACTGGTCTCTCTTGGTCCCATTCTAATCTGGAAAAACGAAAATTACTGCACAAACAGGACAGAACATCTCCATGATCCTTAAGGAATTTCTCCTGTCCTACTGTGCTACGTGGCCAGACCCACTGGAAAGCCTGGCTCATTGGGACACAGCCTTTGTGTCCTTATGCCATTAGTTACAGCCAAACCACCAAATTTTGGTATCTGCTTACTCACATGTGGTGGCTTTCACAGTTTCAGTTGAGCTCTGCTTTTGTGTAGGTTACAGCAAGTAACTGCTCATTTCCACAAAGAATCTGATCCAACAGCTTTCTGATCCATCTGCCATTGTACAGATGAAAATTCTCGAGAACTAACAACATGGATTTAAAATATGCTTTTTCTTTTTTTGTTTATCATTTTAACTCAAAACACGTACCAGCATTAACAAGCAGTGCTTTGAAAACAAACTCAAGTCATTATTACCTACACTGAGTTCTTTATAATAATGATAGATGAGAGGATCAAGAACAGGTGAATTCTTCACTGAAAAGAATTTCTGGCTACTAAACCCTGACTGCTTCCTTTAAAACTACTGTACTGTTAATTTTCCTTTTAACTGTTTGCAAAGAGAAGTCCTCTCTATTTTTTTTAGACGATGCATTTACAATTATTTCCCCACAGTAGTCATAACATTCAATTTCCCATCCCACAACTCTGATTTTTCTGCTATGGTTATCAAAATGTCTGTGCTTCATTTAAGAGAGGAAGAGAAGAAGATAAGGCAGTCACAACAATCTGCTTTGCCAGCCCTCCTCAATGCAAAAACTGGATTAACATTCCAAAGAACTGTATTAAAAAGAAAAAAGTCACCAAGTAGGAGAACACCTGCAATACGAAAAACAAGATGAGGGACACAAACTGCCACGTTCCTCTAAGATATAACACATTTTCTTCCCTCCTCTCTAGGCACTCTTGGTCCTGTGTCTTTCTGCTCTCTTATTCTCTCCTCTCTATACTCTATTATGTACTCTGGGTAAATCTGGTGTTTTTCAAAGACAACAAAAACAGTAGGATTGAACTCATCATCCACACAGCTGTCATATAACCACAGCTTGGCAGCACACTTCATTGGGGGCCGGACAAAGGCGGTGTTGCCTTTCACGTAGTCTCCAACCAGAACACGAGCCACGAACATGGAGTGTCCCTGCAGCGTGGTCTGACAGTAGTGGTGGGAATAGCAAGCATCTCTAGCAAAGTAACTTCCTAGAAAACAAGATGGAAACGTGGGTCTGAGGAGAATCTGTACAGTGACAGCAAAATCTGAGCATCTCATGGGTTTTCAGGAGGTATCTGACTCAACTTTCAGGACTTCTCTTAGTTTACAGAATATCACCAAAATTTTTGCAAGAGAGGGGACTGCACTATGTCATTTCTATTCACCATTTGCTATTTCAGGAGTAATTTTTCTAAGCTTTACCAATAAGCTCACTACAAGTCTGCGTGTTGTGTTGAGGGACAGATAAGAAAACACGAGGACCTTCCAAGATCACAATGAGGGTGTACACACCCCTCTGCTCCCTGCCATACAAACCAATTTGTAAGTTCAAATTATGGTCTCAGACATCAGAAAATGCCACCTACAGCAAATCCCAAATCACTAATGCTCTTAACACCTTGTGAGAAGACTTACCCCCAACCCAAAGCAAATCCTGGTCCTCTTCAGAAGGATCATAATACCAATTCTTGTCTTTTTTTTTTCTCCTTCTACAGTTAAAGACTTCAGAACCTTTGACTGCTCCACTATCAGGGGAGTCTCAGCAGACATCTCACTTTCTACATACCCTTCCCATATTTAGTTCCATTGCTTCCACAAATTCTCCAGTCGAAGTTCTGACTGCAGATCGTTTCCATGAAGGTGATGTCAGCTCCATGGAACAGGCGTTTTTCCTGGACTTCCTTTCCTCCATTTTCCCTTTTCATCTTTTCTTTTTGCCTGATAAAAATGAAGGGGAGGAGAATGTGAACCATGGAAGAAAGTGGTTTTTTAAACAATTCTAACAACCATGTAACATCTACACAAATGTCAGCTGGATGAGGTTTCCAGCCTGCTCTACCCTCTCAGAAGATGAGACACACTAGCAGCATGACGAACAAGATGAGATGAGCACTATTGACACAACCGCTCAGCCATGATTTTGGCTTTACTCAGGGAATTTAGGCATTTGACACTGTTCCAGTTGCTACTGTGCCAACCTGTTGCTCCTCTGTAGGGCCCTACTGGCTGTGCTGTAAAGGCCCTTCCCACTCAAGCTCTCAGTGGAGTAGAGGCACCATTAACCTCAGAGGCTCTGTGCTTCCATAGTGGCTCAGAGCTGGAGGCAGCTTGTGCCCCCTGCCACAGCCCCAGCTCCTGCCTCTGAGAGGTCAGTGCTGCTGAGGAGATGGGGCCAGGAAACAAACCCAGCCTGCTTTGCCCACTGCTCACCTGCCTGGTTGAGGCCAGAGTCAGACTGAGCTATGAAAAGAGAAATCACAACAAAAGGCTCAACTCGTATTTCCCATCATTATTCCTCAGCATCCAGACACCTCTCAGTTTTTCAGAAGCTGCTGAAGTGGACATGACAGCAATATTCTACAGAGAATCATCAGCCACAAATTTAGCAGAGCCAGGGGGAGGGGAGAATCCTTCCAACTTGTAAATTAGTTAATGGAAAGTGAAGAGCAAAGACTGAAACTTGTTCATTGAGAGCTTGCTATGAGGTGGTGAGGCCCTGGCACAGGGTGCCTAGAGAAGCTGTGGCTGCCCCATCCCTCAAAGTGTTCCAGGCCAGGTTGGACAGGGCTTGGAGCAACCTGGGATAGTGGAAGATGTCCCTGTCCATGGCAGACTGGATGAGCTTTAAGGTGTCTTCCAACCCCAATTACTCCATCATCCTCTGGACTTGGCAATGTTAAACTCTGCCTGCTTAGCCTAATTACCTCACTGGAGGAGGATAAAAAATATGCACTATTACATGCTTTGAAGTCTCTTATGTTTTGCTAGATGAAAAGGTTTATGAATCAGTTTCTGGGTTCCATCATTTTGCAAGTGAAAGCATTTATTTGAGCAGTATTTTTCTACTCCATTACCATTCCATACAGTCCTTGAATACTTACTCTTGTTTTAAACTAGACAACTGTTCTAAGCAACAGCTTAATCCTACATCAAACTAACTTGAACATGTTTGAACCCCAGCTCTAATCTGCTGGCATCCAGCTTGGCCTAAGTACTTAGTGTTCAGTGTCACTGATGCAGATGTTGAAAACCAGAAAGGAGCTCTGGAACTCAGAGATCATCAAGTTAAAACACAAGGATTCTTTCTCAGTGAATACTGACTTTGTTCAGCAAAAGCACCTGAAATAAATCAGACTGGAACAAAAAGGCCCAAGCAGCCTTTACTCTTTTTAGTATTTCATATACTCTAATGGATAAAGATTTGTAACACAGAGCACGTGTGCAGCAGGCAGTTACTGCTCCATCCCCAAGACAATCACTGTTCCACATCCCTGTAGGTATCCTCATCCCAGTTCTGCATCATTCATGTCTTTCTCTCCATGCTCCTCTCTCCCTCTTTCAAGGAGCCAGGCAAAGGGAACCTCCCCACAGAGCATGGCATTCTGTGGAAGGGCCCAGACACCAATCTCACTCCTGAAATTCTAATAACTAAATACCAGTCATGTCAAGGCACAGGTGACAACCTCCTTTCTCTCCTAGAAAGGACAAACAGGACAACCTGTTCTTGGAGACTGCCTCCTCATAAGGACAGGGAAACAAGTACTAACCACTGAAACACCTTCCAGAGGGATGGATTCTGAATCCTCTGTATTTTAAGGATGCTGTAATTTTTCATAGTCTGATGAAACAGCTGCTTTATTTCATTGTATTCAGAGGTTGTGTTGCTGATCACCACTGCCTATAAAATACAAACCAAAGCAAAGAAAGGCATGAGGCTGCAGCAGGTCTGGAACATGCAGAAGCCCAATTCCAGCAGATACACTTTCAGAAGGGTCCCCAAACTCTGCTTATGAAGGGTAATTAAATGCTTTAGGTCATGACTATGTGAATAACCAAATACCAAGGAAATCAGTCGGTCACTCCTGCTTTGCAAGGACACCTCACCTCTCTTCAGGAAGGATGTTGAAAGGTTTATCATCTCCAAGAGTTGACACCTGCAACTTTAAATCTCAATGGAACAGAAATTGCAAAAAGAAAATTTGACAGATTATTCCAGAGAGTGTCAGTTTTATATCTAAAGCTGATTAAGAACAAAAGATCTTAGATAACAGCATCATTTGTAATTAGACATTTTTGGGAGCTTCAGCTATTAAAGATTAAACAAACAAAACATAGATACCCTCCTGGCATTGCAGTGTCTTACCTTTTCAAAGTTAGAACTTAGAAAGCTTCACTTTAATGTGGACTTCAGAAAAAAACCCCTCCATTTCTAAACAAATGTGACATCCAATACCTGCTTAAACAAATACATCTCCTTTCCCAAAGGAAACAAAGTCTGTTTAGCCATTATCCTTTTATTTATTTATCCATACATTTTGTGTTTAAAAATCCATTAAGAAATGCTTATTTTTCCCGCAGCAAATTTAATGCAAAACATAATTAAAACATTACTCGAGGTCTTCTGCTTGTTTATGTCATGCATGAATTTTCCATTTTTTTCTTCAAAGTAACTCATGTCTTTTATTTTCTAGAATCAACATTTATCTCCATAAACTGCAAAAGTGTGATGCTGGCAGGCTGATGTCACCTGGTAATACTTTCCACTTTACCACAACTCAAGTCAAGTGGGAACTCAAGATTACAAAGTGAGATCCCAACATCCCGTGTTCCAAAGCGTTTTAAGCAGGAAAGCTGTGGCCATCCTAAAAGGTAGCAAGGAAACTAACATTTTACCCTACCAGGTAAAAATTCCCTGTTTTAGAAAGGTGAGTTTAGAGAGAAAATAAAGGAGGATAAACCTTGGGTTTCACAGATACTTTTAAGTACTTACTAATGAGGAGATCGCCCGCAGAGAAGTGTTCTAAAGATTAAGAATGAAGTCAGCTGCACAAGAAAGAACTATTTCTTTGAATTTATTTAAAAGCCTTTAAAAATTTTAGTGAAATTTCCTATGGTTCAATACAGGATCATTTTTCAAAGCTTTACAGCACAGCACATAAAACAATCAGGATGTGCAAGCAGTGATTGTCTGTACAGTCTGTGGCACCACAGCCCAAGTTGCTCACCATCACCTACAGGATGAATATCATGTCACTGTATTTCAGGACTACATCTTTTATTTAGAATCACAGAATGGTTTGGGTTGGAAGGGATCTCAGAGCCCATTCAGTGCCACCCCCTGCCACAGGCAGGGACACCTTCCACTATGCCAGGTTGCTTCCAGCCCCATTCAGCCTGGCCTTGGGCAGGCACTTCCAGGGATGGGGCAGCCACAGGTTCTCTGGGCACCCTGTGCCAGGGCCTCACCACCCTCACAGGGAACAATTTCTTCCTAATACCCAGTCTAAACCTACTCTCTGTCAGTTTGAAGCCATCCCCCCTTGTCTTGTCACTCCAGGCCCTTGTAAATGATCAGCTCAGCACAAGGGGGGTTCAGAGGCAGGACATGTCCAGCTCTCACCACCAGCACCCCCAAATCCTTCTCCCAGGGCTGCTCCATCTGCTTATCCCCAGCCTGAATTGCCCCCAGGGGTTGTCCTGGCCCAGGTGCAGCACCAGTACTTGTTGAACCTCACTGGATTCCCATGAACCATTTCTTGAGTTTGTCCACATCCCTTTGGATGGCCCTGTCCTTCAGGTATGTCACCTACAGTGTTCAGCTTGGTGTCATCTGCAAGTTTTTTTATACATGAACAATTCCCACTTAAACTACAAATGTACTTTTGCTCTGCTGCATCCTTCAGGGTCACGGTGGGATTCTTGGGGTGTCCTGTGCAGGGCCAGGTGTTGGACTCTATGATCCCAATGGGTCCCTTCCAACTCAGCCTGTTCTATGATTCTATGATCTCTTCCTGAGGAACTGAAACCTTTCTAGGTAAAACAGAGGGTCAGCCATGATACACAAGGCCTAATCCTGTAAGAAAGGTACTTCCATTATTTTATCATATGACAACAAAGCTGTTCTTTCCATGAAATCTTTGTGGGCTTGTCCTTATTTCCACAAGGATGCTTCTAGTGCTAATAAAGGATCACAGCATCACATTGCTGTTGAAGGCTTAGATATGGCATAACTGCACAACTTCAACTTTTTTCACCTTCAGGCCTGAAAAGGAAATCCCACTGAGTGTGAGCATTTGCTACACTGTTATCAGAGAGCAGAGTTCCCAAGGCAGAGAAGGAATTGCTCTGGCAGCAATTCCCACCAGTGTATGACTGCACAAGAGCAGTACTCTGTGACTCACACCCTGAGCTCTGCTTCACTGGGGTGTTGGAAGGAGCAGGGTTGGTACTGGTGGCAGTGAGCCCACCAGAAGTGACATCTATAAAATGCACAGACACTCCTTACATTGCATCCTGTGCCTGGTACAGTGCAGCAGTCCTTGGCCTGCATGGCCAGGATTCAGCAGCACATCAGCCACACAAAGACTGACAGGAAACCACACATCCAGTGCACACTTTTCTCAGTTGTACATTAAAGACACAATTTTAAACCCAGCAAGAAGTTTCAGGATATAATAAATTCTTTTTTTTTTCCTTTAAAACTTTTAAAAACTACTAATTCCACTTTGTGAAAACATAGACAGGAGAAAGTCACACCAACTTCCCAAACAGTGTTACTAATTTCCACTGTGCATTTTATACACTTCTTTCTACAGAACTGTTCTCAATGACTTACAGATTAAGACATAGCAATACTCAAAAAATAAGCAATGTTACCAAAGCACAGATTCCCATTTTAAGCCAAGATGACTTTCTGCCTATCTCACAGGTTCCTTTTTAAAATGGATCACTTCCAGCGCAGCAGATTTTGCCAGGATTATTTGTCAATGTCTGAAGAGAAGGCAGTTCATCGAGTTGTAGCTGTCAGCTCTTACAATGGTCACCACAAGCATGCAGAATCCCAGCCACTCCCAATATTACCTACTGCAAAAAAACAAGCTTAGGGTCCCACAGAAAGATTTAATCTAGCCCAGGCTTTCACTTTTAGTGCCAACAGGTATCATGGGCATTGTTACTTTTCCTTTCCTGTGAAAGGCACTCACAAGTTAAAGAGATATTTTCTTAGGTGCCAAACTGAGCTCCTTCTACTCACACATCCCCACATGTACAACCAAAAGATACTATGGATCTGTGCACTGCATTCCAAAGCTTCCCACATTCACCCCAGTGACTCCAGAAACACCCCAACAAATGTACTCAACTAAAATTCAGACAAGTTTTCAGAACAAGTATGGGAAGCAATTAAGTACACACAGCTCAAAAGACCTGAACAGAACAGAGGTACCTGCCTTTCTGGCACTCTTTGGAAAAAATTATGCTTGGAAGTTAAGATGCTGATAAGCCAAGGGAAGAGCATATTCCTTTGTTACTTCCACTGGGCTCCAGATATCACAGGCAAATCTTCAAGTGGGCTGACTGCCAGATTCCCACACACTCTCATTATTATTTCATCTTTTATTTATGAAAGTCATGACTCAACAGGAGGGTCTCTCTAGTAGTTTTGTCTGACCCTGTCTATGCAGTAAATAATCAAGTGTACTTTGCTATCAAATCTTGTTAAACCACTGTCTCCTTCACTATCAAATTTTGTTAAATGGTGATTTTATATCAACATAGCACTCCTCTCTTGTAAGTGAAGTGCTTTACTCCACCCTGACACACAGCCACACACTGGTGCTCCTCAGCCCCCAGGGTATCTGTGCCAACACAACCTGGTCAGCATCACACAGGATCCTGCGACACAGTCAACAAGGAAAGCCTCTTACACTGCTCCTCAAGCAGCACTACACAAAGGGTCCCTGTAACATGAAAAAGCCTTTTTTTCTAGTCCTGCAGTACTTTCACAAACTGTGCTGCTCTTCCAGAAGGACTGCAGGACCTAGAAATCTAAAAAACAGCCACACATTTTGGTCTTGGTAGACCAAATAAAAAGCTAGACTTTGGGCTGACAGGGGTTGGGTTTGTTTTGTGGAAGACATCACTGCAATGTTTTTTTTATTTTGTGGTTGTAGATCTTTATTTCTGCCATTTCCTGTGGCCAAGGTCTGTGCTCAGATCCATGCTGTATGTGACAGTACTGAAGGATACAGAGATTTCCTTTCCTGGATCTCCAATCCAAATTTACTCCTCCTGTCTCAAACTTGGTGAGTTTGGTTTGTTGTTCTTTGGAGTTTTGAGTTTTTGGTGTGTAGATAAATGCCTAAAATGCATTTGAAGTTAAGGCAATTTGGCACCTGTTTCATGAGCCCTTGGGAGATCACCATGATCTTTAGTACACCCACTCAAGAAATTGCTCCTGTCCTTTTTTAGCAGCCACAGTTACAGTTGATTCAGTTAAGCTCTGAATCTGTTTCTTTCCATCAGAATTACAAGAAGGGGGAAAAAAATAGATACCTTGTATCCGAAGTCAGGCAGTGCAGATGCATCCCAGTGACTAGGACAGGTCTGATTTGGAATAGAAGAATCCCTTTGGCTGCTTGCAAACAGACAGAAATGAAGTGTTAGTAATTCTAGTACTGCTCCATTTGGAGCATCCCCTTTGGCCAATTCCTGTATTTAATAATTAACAAAATAAACCACAAAGAAACTGGGAAATAGCCTCAGTCTGTAGGCTGAGCTCTGCATGCTGCCACTCAACCACCACAGGCCTCTTGCACTTGCTTTTTAAAGTAACAGCTGGAGTACCTGGAGTACCTGGAGTAATGTGTACCCCAGGCAGCAGGTGAGGCACCACAACTGCAGTTTGTGACACAGTTTCTGTTCTTCAGTCCCATGAATAGGCTTTCTCCAGCAGCACTTGTGTCTTTGTACAACTACTGCCAGCACTGAGAGCCATTTTGCCTTATGATTACTTCTAAAATATGAAAAAACAGCCTAAAGGGCACTTACCCTGTCTTTATCTTCTGCACATCTTCAGAAGACACGAATTTTGGTCGCCTGCAAACCTGTCTTCGAGTTTTAAAATGAATATTTGTCTGAATCATTTCTTGAGGAGAAAAAAGAGAAGGGAAAAAAAAAGTCATGAATAAGTCTACAAGACAGGGTCATCTTGTCCTCATCAGTCATCCTTTAATGAAAACTGCATATTCAGTGTCAATTCTACCTGCTGAGAAGTAGTTGCACAAAGTCTGTATAAGCTTCCAGTCTTTCCTGTACCTCTGTGACTGAACCTGTGCCTATCCTGCTTGCTCCCTCAAGCCACTCAATGCTCTTTAAACATTGCTACAGCAGCACAAAGATGCCTAACTTGTATTTTTTACCATCCACAGTGTTAACTTACTTTCCTTAAAGTTTACTATGACTTTATGTGAAGACTATGAACCTTTATATTCCTGGTCAGATGTGAGTCTGGGGAGTGTCAAGGAGTAAGGGGGGAAGGTTCCTTTTGTGAGGAATTTGCTCTGGGCCTCAACTACCTCACTTCCAGTAAGTGAAACTGGTGGTGTCAGGAAAGGAAGTCATACCTTCCAAAAACTGGGAGACTTTGCAGGAGTCCATAAAGCACTGTATAGTGCTATAGTGCATAGCTGTAGATGAAAACCTTTAAAATTACTACCTTTAAAATTGAGTTCATACTGATGTTGGCCAGCCTGGAAAGGTACAATGGCACATGGATCTGCTTGATACAAATTCTCAATAATAGCAGAAGATGGTGAGGTCGTGCTGTTCCCTTCTTCCTTTGTGGGGAGAAGAGAAAAAAATAAAGAGAATGAGAAGTATTTAGTCAGGACTAAACCCTGGATAACTAGCTGGGGTAGAGGGAAAGAAAAGGCCAAGTGTAGGATGACAAGGAATCTACCCAGAACTATGGTGGCCTGGGCTGAGTACTGAATATTTGTAACATAAACACAAATACATAATTAGTAACTTTAAATTCCTGTAACAACTTGTGCTGGTTCTGGCTGGGGTAGAGTTAAATTTCTTCCCAGATGCTGGTAGTGGCTGTGCTTTGGATTTGTGCTGGAACAGTGCTGATAACAGGGGGATGTTTCAGTTATTGTTTAGTTTAGGCATGCACAGAGCCAGGGACTTTTCTGCTCCTCTCCCACCCCACCAGTGACAGGACTGGGGGGCACAAGGCCTTGGGAGGATACACATCCAGGAGAGCTGACCCCAAGTGGCCACAGGGACACCCCAGCCCATAAGGTGTCACTCATGTATACAAAGCTGGGGAAGGAGGGAGGGAGAGACATTTGGAGTGACGGTGTTTGTTTTCCCAAGAGACTGTGAGCTGTGATGGAGCCCAGCTTTCCTGGGATGGCTGAGCACCTGCCTGTCCAAGGGAAGAGGGCAATGAATGCCTTGTTTAGCCTTGCTTGTGCACACATTTTGCTTTAGCCTTTTTCACTTTCAGGCTTGAAAAGGAAATCCCACTGAGTGTGAGCATTTGCTACCCTGTTATCAGGGAGCAGAGTTCCCAAGGCAGAGAAGGAATCACTGCTCTGGCAGCAATTCCCAGTCTTTATCTCATGCCATGAGTTTTCTCACTCTCTGCCCAGCTCCATGGCAGGGGAGGGGGCAAGGCTGAGCTGCAACCAGCTGTGATGGGTACACTCAACTCCTTACCAAACCAAAGTAACTTTGGTTCAGGCTCCAAAGGAAGCAAAGGCCTAGGCCAAGAACTTTTCTAGTCTAAAAACCCACAAAGGAACAGGGTGATACCGTGAGCATTGATGCGTATAAGCTTGGAAACAAACACTGATGATGTGATTAATGCATGAATTAGCAGGTGGTTCTTCCAAGACTAATTTGCCAAGGGAAAAAAAAAGTTGCAGGTGTAAGGAGTCTCACTGTTTACTTTGCTTGTGATTTACTATGAATCAACCACTTCATTCCACAGACAGGAAAGCCTGAGTGAGCTCCTTGCAAGCTCTCCCTGCTGAAGAGCAGCTGGACAGCTGTGATCTCTCCTGGACCTGGGTGACTCCTTGAGGTTGAGTACTCTGTGAGGTTACTCTGATTCTTTTAAACTGCTCTATCCAGCACCTTTCTCTGTGTACTTTTCCAAGCCCCTGGATCACCTTTGTGTTCTACCATTTGTGCTGCTATACTGTAAACCATATGGGATAAACTCATCTGCCGTGGGGGAAGGTGAGATTCTATATATATTTCTTTTCCTGCATTTTCAGATAGGTTACTTTCTCATCAGAGGACTTGGACATACATGGAAAAAGACTGCATTTGACCTGAGAGAGCAGAGCAATCCTTGCATGTCCAAGGAAGGAGGGCGTTGCTTAAAAAAGAGGCAACTTCTTCCCAAGTATCTTAAGAGCAGTGTCTACATGTTAAATCTCTATGGAGCCATGGACAACTCCAAAAGGGAGCTCTCTTTCCTCCAGCCTGTCAGCATTTTATCACATCTGTTACAAACAGATGTAGCTTCACTGCCTTACTCAACACTGTAAAATTCAAGCACAAAGACTCAATTAATCCTACTGAGAAAAGGGGAAAGGATGCAGAAGCTCCACATATTCCTGCAGAAGTAACTCAAAGCACAGGATGTGAACTCACCGGTTCTCCATATTCAATCCACTTGTCTTGGTTATTCTTCCAGTACCAAATCCACTGTGTGGTCAGCAGGAATGTGGGTTTTGTGACTGATGATGGTGTAGAGAGGCGTCGAACCAAAGAAGAAGAGCAGGTCATTGTCTGGAAATTAATGTTCTTACTTGGCAAGCTGTAAGGACAAATTCAGGTTTATTAGAGTTAGCAGTACATATTTTATCCTCTCATCCCCAGTTTAAGCTGGTGCCATTTACTTTAATATACAGTAACCAAACTTCATTAGATCTGAAATAGGAGTATTTATTTCCCACAGCACATGGCAGCTCTGAAAGCCATTTCCAAGCTTCAGAAGTGAACTGTGGCCTGTGAGACACCAAATGCCACCTCAATCACATGTCGCACTGCCAGCTTTACAGATAACATCAGGCTCCAAGTACAGTGTGGCAAAAGGAACTTCTGTTATAACTAGGTGTGGTTACAGTCTTTCTCAGTACAAAAGCAGAATGTACAAAGTGTGGGACTGAATTTGCCAGCAAACACCTGCAGCCTATCAACTTTGTTCTTTTTCTGTGGTTACAAAGGATGCAATCACAGCAACCACAGCTGTGAGTTCTGCAAACTGCATTCACCACTGGAGCCACCTGGGCTCTTGCTCCTTGAAAAGTTAATTCCCAGGAAGGAAGACTTTGATGGCAGCCTTCTCTTGGGAATATTGCTTGTGATCTCCAGAAAACTGCCAATCAAAATCATCTGGTGCCTTAAGGAGGCATGGGCCAAAACTAGAATACTATTTTGTGAAGCCAAACTTGGGGTGCCCTATGAATCCAGGTCACTTTGAGTGGGACTTTTCAGAAAGGAGCTAAAAGGAAAACATGCTCTTAAAATAGAAATAAAAAGAAGAAGAAATAAATGGGCTGCTTACACAAAAGACATTTCATAAAATGTCTCTAGGTACATAATAGATTACTATTATTGTTAACTAGCTGCAGTGGGAAAGAAATAGCTATAGAGAAGGACCAGCTCTGAAATGTTGCCAAAAGGCCCAACTTCATTACTGTAAATAAACTGATTAATGATCTGAAATACTAGTATTTTAAACACTGGCTTTTTACTTTGTACAAAGTTTTACATGCAAGATATAGTTTTGTTATTTTTAGAAGACAAAAGTGGAGTGGGATTTTCATACAATCGTTCTTTCTTTGCTTTTTTAAAAGGAAAAATTCTTATTTTTAAATCCTCCCAGCTTCTGAGAGGCTCAGTAACCAGAGGCTGAGAAGTCAGACATCTTCAGGAAGAAAACACAAGTATTCCTACACAGGCTCAATCACAATACTCCAAGCAAGGAGTCCAGCATTACTACACCTGCTGTTCTTTGGGTCACAATAGGCCTTTTCAATTTCCTCCATCATGGAAAGTTCTTTCCAGTCCAACCCATCATGTATCTCCCATTTATATGGCAAATGGTAATGAACAGATTTGCATCTATCTGTAACGAAATCAGACATAGTCAAGAATTCTGCAATCATTAACAGAGAGAGCAAGACAAGAAAAAAACCAAATAGAACCAGCATCTTTTATACTTGGAGGCTTTCTCTCCTGGGCTTTGGTATAAGCAATGAAGACAGAGTGCTGAAAACAGAAGGGGAGTGTATTTCTGCAGTCTTACCAAGAAAAGCAACATATACATACATACATATATATATATACACACACACACACACTGCCAAATTTATTTGAAAGACACCTGTAGTGGTTCGCTAATTTGAGATTTTTTGGTTAATCTACTAATTAGTGTGGTGGGTTTAGTGTTGGTTAATTACTAGTACACTTAATAGAATGTACTGATTTGGTTTTTGTTGTGAGATAGAATTAGGAGAAAAGTAAAATAGGATCAAAACTTTAAAAGGGTATAAATAAAAATTTATTGACAGTAACTCAAAGAAAGAGTAATAAGAATCAGAACACAATTTTTAGGACACTTCCCTTTACAACTTTTTTTTTCCTCACTGATAATGTAAAGAGAAAAAACCTAAAATCTTTAGTTAGTTTACTACTTCTAGAATAGTCTTTCTTTAGTTTACTTAGGGAGAGAAGTCCTTGTTAATACTTCTCTACAAGAAAATAGTTCTCTCATGGCTCTTAATTTCCACAAATAGCATCTGTTTGGGGAAATTTGTAATCATGAAATCTTTCTCATTTTCTGTAAGTTTGTCTCATAGTTGTGTTTATGGGCCATGTCAACTTATGGGGTATTGGTTTAAAGATGAGTTGTTTAAAAGCAAAAGTTCTTAATATCTATCTCTGAAATTATCTATATCTAGGAATATAGACCTTTTCTTTCTTTGGGGTATAGGATCTTTATCACTCATCTCTCTTTTTCTTTTCAAACTTTTTATAGGATTGTAGCTACTTTAACACCTGTTTACTTTAGTATGGAGGTTTTTGCTCGATATCTACAATATCTACAATCTACACTTTCATTTCCTCATACTTTTAAGTGTTATAGGGAAAAAAAGAGTCCTTCTCTATAGTTCTACAAGAAAACTTTAGCCTAAAACTAAAGGCATTTTTTCATCCTTCTTATTTGGGACTTGACTTCTTCTTCATTGACTTTGGTGTTTTTATGTTGTTTCTTTATGTGTTTGTACTTCCATCTTGTTCTCTGTCACTGTTGTATTTTCTGAAAAATCCCTTTGCCAGGATTCTTCTCCTGGGAAGCTGAGAAGCCTCAGAGAAAAATGAAAGCAATAATTATCTGATTTGCTTCTCCTGTGTTTTGCTGCTTTGGAATGTGGTTTGGACATTGTTTACCAACTGGTCATTGATTGGTTTCATGTGAATTGTTTTAACTTGATGACCAATCACAGTCCAGCTGTGTTGGGACTCTATCGAGAATCATGGGTTTTTCATTAATATCTTGTTAAGCCTTCTGTAAGTATCCTTTTTTTATTCTTTAGTATAGTTTTAGTATAATATCGTATCATATCAAATTAGCCTTCTAAAAACATGGAGTCAGATTCATCATTTCCTTCCTGCCACGGGGGACCCCAGAAAATACCACAGTGAGGGAGGACTGAAGTATTGGAAGAGTTAATATTTTGCCCAGGGCCTGCAGATGGTTATGTGACCCCAGGCTCCACTGGGGCTGGGGGAAGTGCTTAGCATTTCAGCAGCTACTACAGTGATGGCTTCTCCTCTGCCCCTGCCTGGTGGCCATGGGGGGCCCAGTGGGCACCCCGTGGCAGGGGCCATCTGGCCAAGACAGAGGCCGGGCCAGCTGTGTCACCTCTTTGCCAGCCAGAATGGAAAGGAGAAAGTTTTTGAGGTTTTTTTGTCTTTAACTTGTGTTTTCCACAGAGGTGAGTACAGCTTTCCAGTGGTTTAACAGACTGTCAATTCCCAAAGCCAAACACTGATTGGTTTCCTATCAGACATGGAGGAGATTGCTAGCAGCCTCTCCTAAAACATCATTTCTGTGATGCAAAACTAGCACATTACCAGAACCTTCCCTTTGCTGAGACACAACGCTGGCAGCTGGGAGAGCAGTGCCACAGACAGGAAGTGCCTGTTATGTGTCACACAACCGTGTGTCTCAGCTGTAAAAAGTCCAGTCTACACAACACATAAACACTCTGATATATTTGGTTGTCTTTTCCTTAGTCCCTTAGAAATCATGGGGTGTTTGCCAAGGCCTGAAGGGTCTTCTTCTGACTGATGCTCCACATTCAAGTATGGATCAAACATCTTACAACTTCCTGGCCCAATGTAGCAAATAAAGCGCACTCACACTTCAACAGTTACTTGAATTTAGTTATCTGGTGGTCACAGTACAGCTGCTTTGAGCCTCACCGTCACAGTTTCACCCAGGAACACTGTTCACATCACACAGGGTCTTTTGTCAAGACCAGGTGGTCAGAGGAGTCCTTTAAAAACTGATTGGACCAGATCAGGGAAAGAAAATGTCATGGTACCTCCTCATAATTAAGGAAGAGCCAAACCTGGGGGTTAAATGACTGTTCAGGACAGCTCCCAAATACAATTACTTATATTCTTCCCTCAGACCTCTGTTCTGGCCACTACCAAAAAGACAATGGACTATATTTATCTTTAGCTTAGCTGGTACAACTAAGTGGCTTTTTCAAAATGTTTTAACATCAGATCACTTGTTTAAACAACTTAATGAGGGAGAATATGGCTATTATCTGATCTACATAGGATAAAGGATAGCATACATTTATGATCTGTCAATAATGACAGCACATTCAACTCATAACTTGATTTTCTAGCAACAGAAAGGGTAACACTTCACACTTAAAGGGCTTTGCCACAGAAATGTACCCAAAGCCTGCTACCATCAAAAAGCTAAAATAGGCTGGATTATAAGGATAAAGGGTTTAAGTACACCATTTGGCTTTCTTCTGATTATGTTTGTAATTCTGACAGTGCTTATTAATGACTTGGAAAGAAAAGAAACCACTGAGGAGGCACAATTGTCACCACTAGCCCAAGCCACTGAACAGGAGTCCCTCTGCAAACAAGTCTTCAACAACATTACTTTTCATAAAGCTTACCCTTGTTTTTGCAGTACTTCCAGACATAGAACAAACAGATCTCATCACAGGTATCTTTTTTGTTGTCTTTTGAAGCTTCTTCAGAGGAACTGTCCTTTTTACCTACAGCAAAGAACATCACAATCCATATTTGCTTAAAGAGAAAGATCCTGCATTTGGTACTTCCTCCCAGAAATAACAAGAATGTCAAATCCTTGCAGTAGCAAAGTCAAGCACTATAAGGATCTGACCATCTCCCATACAGCCCAACACAGAAGTCAGAGCTTTGTGACTGAACAATAAACCCTGACACTGGAAGGAGTCTCAGTGAGAGACCTGACAAAGCCAAATTCATTGCCTAGAAACAGTAGGCAAGGGAAGATCTTGCATGCACAGATACAATTCTGTCACCTTCCTAGCTAGGAAAAAACATGTCCAGGACAGAACAGAGTGCTGCACAATTTCTGCTTGGGCAGAAATTCCAACACTGCTCTGCTGGCCATCTGATACTATGGATTTCAGCACACAGCAAGGCACACACATAAGCTGCTGCACTCAACTACCACTGGGAGCTGTCAGGCTGTGTGAAATCAAGGCCCAGTGAAAACCACTGGTCTCAAGACTAGAGAGTTGTAAATAATTCATACCTTTATCTTTACCTCCCACTCCTGCTGGCAACTGGTCTTGGCTCTGGGCAGGTCCGGTGCTACTGGGACCTGTGTGAGAAGACTGAATGGGCAGCACTGCTGGGCCACAAGCTCAGCCAGCTGATATCCCCATCTCTGGGGAGAATTATGTCCATCACGTGTGTAATTTGATATGAAACATTACACCATCCATGTGTGGAATAGCTAAAAGAACCTGTCCAGAGAGTACTGGACTCTTACAAGCTTTAAAGCCAAGGTCCTTCTGCCCAGAAGAACAAGAGATCTACAAGTTGCTAGTCACTCACTGGAAGGTGTATTGAGACAACTGACAAAGCCATATTCATTGCCTAAAAGAGTAGGCAAAGGAAAGATGCTGCATGCACTGATACAATTCTGTCATCTTGCTAGGAAGGATAAAATGTGTCCAGGACAGTACAGAGTCCTGCACAACGCTTGGGCAGAAATTCCAACACTGCTCTGCTGGCCATCTGATACTATGGATTTCAGCACACAGCAAGGCACACACATAAGCTGCTGCACTCAACTACCACTGGGAGCTGTCAGGCTGTGTGAAATCAAGGCCCAGTGAAAACCACTGGTCTCAAGACTGGAGAGTTGGAAATAATTCATACCTTTATCTTTACCTCCCACTCCTGTTGGCAACTGGTCTTGGCTCTGGTCAGGTCTGGTGCTACTGGGTGTTGAATTTGCAGACAATCCTAACATGGGACGAGATGAGAATCTTGACTCCATGTTTCAGAAGGCTGATTTATTACTTTATGATATATATTATATTAAAAGAAAATGATATATTAAAACTATACTAAAAGAATAGAAGAAAGGATTTCATCAGAAGGCTTGAAAGGAATAGAAAGGAATGATATAATAAAATCTTGTGACTGCTCACAGCATCGACACAGGTGGCTGTCATTGGTCATCAAGTAAAAACAATTTCACATGCTGGGTAAACAATTCTCCAAATCACATTCCAAAGCAGCAAAACATGGAGAAGCTGAAGCTTCTCAGCTTCTCAGGAGAAAAGATCCTAGTGAAATGATTTTTCATAAAATATGTCTGTGACAACTGGGACCTACGTGAGAAAACTGAATGAGCAGCACTGCTGGGCCACAAGCTAAGCTAGCTGATATCCCAGTCTCTGTGGAGAACTGGAATATCACATGTGTGGAAAATCACACCTGTGATTTGATATGAACCATTACACCGTCCATGTGTGGAATAGCTAAAAGACCCTCCAGTACTCCAGAGAGTACTGGACTCTGACAAGCTTTAAAGCCAAGGTCCTTCTGCTCAGAAGAACAAGAGATTTAGAAGTTGCTTTTCACTCAGTGGAAGGTGTATCGACACAACACCTCTACTGACAAAGCTGTATTAATTGCCTAGAGACAGAAGGCAATGCAAAATGCTGCATGCACAGATACAATTCTGTCACCTTCCTAGCTAGGGAAAAACGTGTCCAGGACAGAACAGAGTGCTGCACAATTTCTGCTTGGGCAGAAATTCCAACACTGCTCTGCTGGCCATCTGATACTATGGATTTCAGCACACAGCAAGGCACACACATAAGCTGCTGCACTCAACTACCACTGGGAGCTGTCAGGCTGTGTGAAATCAAGGCCCAGTGAAAACCACTGGTCTCAAGACTGGAGAGTTGTAAATAATTCATACCTTTATCTTTACCTCCCACTCCTGCTGGCAAATGGTCTTGGCTCTGGGCAGGTCCGATGCTACTGGGACCTGTGTGAGAAGACTGAATGGGCAGCACTGCTGGGCCACAAGCTCAGCCAGCTGATATCCCCATCTCTGTGGAGAACTATGTCCATCACATGTGTAATTTGATATGAAACATTACACCATCCATGTGTGGAATATCTAAAAGAACCTCCAGTACTCCAGAAAGTACTGGACTCTGACAAGCTTTAAAGCCAAGGTCCTTCTGCCCAGAACAACAAGAGATTTACAAGTTGCTGTTCACTCTCTGGAAGGTGTATCGAGATAACAGCTCTACTGACAAAGCTGTATTAATTCCCTATGGACAGAAGGCAAGGAAAGATGCTGCATGCACAGATACAATTCTGTCAGCTTCCTAAGAAGGAAAAAACATGTCCAGGACAGAACAGAGTGCTGCACAATGCTTCGGCAGAAATTCCAACACTGCTCTGCTGGCCATCTGGTACCATGGATTTCAGCACACAGCAAGGCACACACATAAGCTGCTGCACTCAACTACCACTGGGAACTGTTGGGCTGTGTGAAATCAAGGCCCAGTGAAAACCACTGGTCTCAAGACACCACTGGTCTCAAGACTGGAGAGTTGTAAATAATTCATACCTTTATCTTTACCTCCCACTCCTGCTGGCAACTGGTCTTGGCTCTGGGCAGGTCCGGTGCTACTGGGACCTGTGTGAGAAGACTGAATGGGCAGCACTGCTGGGCCACAAGCTCAGCCAGCTGATATCCCCATCTCTGTGGATAACTATGTCCATCACATGTGTGATTTTCCACTAGCACTCCACTGCTGATACCACAGAGGTGCAATTACAGTTACAAACCCCAGCTAGTCAATGTTATTGCCAGCCACTCAACTGCTGTTTTCAATGCAGTACTTCAGGCAATAAAAGTGCAGCTCTCCATCCCACCACATGATTGTGCCATGACTTACTCCATTCTTGCAAGTGCATAATAGCAGAGAGGAAAAAATGTGTATATATTGCAAGAAGAGAAATACAAAAGCTGATTCCACAAGGAAACAGTTGGTAATATTATCTAGGTATTTACCTTCTAAAGGTGGCACATCCTGCTTGCATTGCACTGTTTCCAAAGTTGTCTTCACTTCGTTAACCCTTCTAACTTCTGGCTTTTTCCAATTATCATTTCTGTAGTTGCGTCCTGAAAGCATCAAAAGGATGGTAGGGTTTAGCTGGAGGTAAGGCAAGAACAGTTCCTACCTCTATCATACTCAAAATCATGATTAAGACCACTATTTCTTGCAACTTACCATACACCCTTGGTTCCCTGGTGAATTCCATATGCTTGAAATCACATATAGCCTGGAAGTTTAAAGCTGTCTTCCTATCAATGCCTACAGTTTCCAACACTCTCAGTGCATGGTCATCCAAGAGGTTATGGGAATTGATGCATCGAGGAAATCTGCATCTCCCCTTGAGGAAGTGTTGACAAACATGAAGCTTGTTGCAGTTGCTTTGCTGCATACAGTGAGAACCTTTTTTGTTGTATAACTGGCAGGTCTAAAAGTGGAGAGGATACAATAAGAAATGGAAAAGCACATTAGAATTTTTGTTTGTCCTACAGGCATACAGCTTTAACAGCAGAAAAATGGCGATTAAAACTCATGTGTTTATTGTGACTTCTTTAAGCCAGACAGATTCCTTGCATAGAGGAGCACGTATTTTAAGCTGACTCATGCATTTTCACTTTTGAAATTGTACACGTTTTGTTTCCAAGAAAAGCTAACCCAACAAGCTTAGGAGTGCCAAAAATGTATGCAAGACAGTTGCATAAAATGGATGCAAGACAGTTGCATAAAAGAGTGGTTTACAGTCATTCTATTTTAAAAACCCCTACAGCATAATGAACAACAAAGAACAAATATCTCCATAAAAACATGTACACTGTGTCAAATGAGTTATTTCATGGAGCTGAAACTGAATTTGCACTTCTTATTTCTAAAACTTATCCTGCATTGAAGATTTGAGCTTATAAAATGGTAAGAAGAGTGCTTTGAGATTAGAGTACATATGGAAAAAGCAATGCACTTCTTTATTCCTCTAGTCACTAAGAAAGAGGTACACAGAGAATCAGATGAGTGACCAAATTACAGACCAAAAACTCCTTCACATTGAACTCTAAGCACCACAGTAACAGTTTTGCTCCCAGAGCAGGCTGTAATAAGAAACCTTCTTTGAAGAGGACACACAGATGTCTGGCAGAGAGCCCCAGTATCACACTGGGACTCTCACAGGTCCCCTCCAAATCCCTCTTCCCAGGAGCCACCAACCACTGCTGAGGGATGATGGGTTGGGCATCAGTCAGTGGGTGGGGAGCAACTGTACTGGGAATTACTTGTATCTCTTGGGTTTTATTAGTTTCTCTCTCTCATTCTCATCACAGTTATTATATTTTAGTCTATTTCAATTATTTTAGTATCCTTATCTCAACCCACAAGTTTTACCTCTTTTCTAATTCTCCTCCCCATCCCACCAGGGTGGGAGAGAGCAAATGGCTGCATGGTACTTATCTGGGCTTAAGCCATGACAATAGGGAATCCACTACTTAGCTACATCAAGAAAGCACACTGTCCCCTTGCACCTGCCAAGTAACAAGAACAAAAACCAACCAAAAACAAAACAAACAAACAAAAAAACATGATAGCCAGAGAGTTGAGGGAAAGTGCGAAAACTCCTGATGTTGTGGTGCTGTTGTGTTGTTTTACTCTGAACCCCAGTTCAAGTCAGAGAATTCCAAAGTGTCCTTTTCTTGAGAGGTTCCTACATGCCATGTCTTCACACACAACCAGTCAGCATTTCTAAACAGAAACAGCCAAATTGGCTTTTACATCCAACCTCCAAACTCTCAGGTTTATGAATGGCCTTCATTGATCCCAGTTTTCTCTTGGTTTTGCTATTTTACTGCATGACAGGAGTTAAAGTGCTCAATTACAGGTAATTAATGATGCCTGCCAGGGGTGAGGGCTGAACAGATTTCTAGTAATCACTGAAGAGTAATACCAACCAAGAACAGTTGCTACTATTTGCTCACTACTGGGAACAATTAGTATTCTCCTTGCTTACCACCATGCTCCTTCAGTCTGCCAGTAAAACATACTTTAAAACACTACACAATTTAAAAAAAAAATATGCTTTGTCAAAGTCTAGCACTTTAACAGCAGGGAACAATGAAACAATAGAACTGTTGTGTCAACAAATCTGTGGAGATTATAACCTGCAAAAGACAAGGGCAGTACTTTGGTAATTTCTTTACCAGGAACAGGGCATGACTGACTTTCAAACAGCCATACCTTGAAGACAGTACTGCCCTTATACACTCATGTTGAACCAGAATGAAATGTTCAACCAAATTTAACAAAATCAACGAGTGGCATACAAACTGGGCAAAGATTCCTTTGTAGAAAGCCAGTGTACAAAAACTCCATGCACTTTGGAAGAGCCAGATTTGACACGAAACTGACTGCAGCCATTTGGTCACTTTCTCACAGGTTCTTCTCATCTCCTATACCCTCAAGCACCAAAATGTGTGCAGGCCTACATGGACTGGAAAAGGAAAGGGGCACTCACTTCCCTGTCATCTCACAGAGAAGAAGCAACAAACTGGGTTTTGGTCATGCCTTTTACCCTGTAAGCATGTACAATTATTGTGATCTTTCACTCTCTCTTGCTTATCTCACCCTCTGTAAACCTCTGGTGAAGTTGCTGACATTTCTGTTTGCTTGTTTTGAGCAGCTTTATGGCCACCCTGCTGAGATAACAGAGCTGGCACACGAGACAGGCTGTAGCCTTGCTGCCCACTTCCTGCTATCAGAGGGCAGGTCTGCTCCTGACACATCCCAGATGACAGGGCCTTCTCCAGATGCGTGCTCTGGGTACTTATTGAACAGTTTTACTGCTGTGACAGTGGTTTTTTCATTATTTTAAGTACACAGCCCTTTCACAGATCTGGCTTTTTGTTTGACATTGCCATTCCAATTCCTCCTTCATTCTGACTAATCCCATTTCATATCTTAACAGCTGGACATTAAGATCAGAACTCCATATTCTCTCTTGCCCTCTCCCATTCCTAATAAACCATAACTTTCTCTTAAGAAACCAGTACAACTCACATCAGGGAGGAAGAATGCATCATTCTGGAGAAGCAAGACTTGCAGCTCATTCTCACTGAGGCCAGACAAATCATGTTTTTTTAGAACTTTCTTGTTCTCCGCATTCATGATGTCATGCGAGTACTTACAAGAGCTGCAAGAAAATACACAGAAATATCAATGTTTACTCCCTTAGTCGAGTTGATTTAAATCAGATAAGGTACAACTTGATAATGTACAACTTGGGAAAAGCCATGAGAGAAAGGTGGCTTGTTGAGAGTCTCTGAGCATGTAGATGGTGTCTGTAATTAGCCAGAGAATGGACAAACAGCAGAACTCCTCTGTGAAGTGTGGTGACCCTATCCTCCTCATTTTAAACCCAACTCCAGGCATTCTTTGCCTCCAGGAAGATCCAAGTCAAGTCACATGAGCTAAACCCCAGGAAAAGTTAATTTTAAAGGAGTACACCAAAAATTCCAGAAGTTACAACAGCCTTCATTTTGTGAACATAGAAGGTTGTTGTCCTAGGGATGGCAAGTAGAGAGACATGCAAGAGTTTGCATGAAACAAAAGCAACAGTGAAGCTGAAAACAACACATTTTGTTATCTTCAGTGGCTGTGAGGTTTTCTTAAAAAATATCAAAAACAGGTAAGACATTTTAAGTTTTGAGTTTTGATTAAGGAAGCAATTAAGCTACAATAATGAAGTCAGTGCTGCCACTTACAAAGCCAAAAGTGTGATGAGTATGAATTAGAGAGGCAGATTGTAGATTTTTTTTCATCTATTTGAAATGGTACTGCAAATCAGTAACAGAGAGGAGACACATACATAGTCAGCCTGTGTGTTAATTTAATGCAGTAAAATGCAGCTTCCTCATGTCCTGCTCTTCAACACATGATCTGATACAGCTTTAAGATCAGACATACTCAACCAGCAAAAGTACCTGTTAATTTACCAGATTCAAGTCTATCCCTTTACTCTTTCAGCCTCTAGTTAACTCCTGAAGCTCTCCTCATGAGTTTTACCTCAAGGTGTGTCTGGTCCAAGGTGTGTCTGTGTTTACTGATCTTTAAGGCATACCAAAGTGACTTCAAATACTATGTGCTATTGAGAGGGCAGGATGGCTTATCATTATGAAGGGAATGGCTTCATTGCAAACTTTAATTCACACAAACTCATCCATCATGAGTGTCTGCACATGTCAAGGCATTTCCAACACTGAACCCCATGGGAGCTTGCTCTATTGCCTGTAATGTAACAAAAAATAAGAAAATCTTATCATCCTAATGATGAGAGAGAGACATGGCTTTCCCCCTCCCTGCTATCCAGATCTTAGTGCACAGTGATCCATTTTGTTGGGGCAGAAGAGGAAGGATCCAGTGGGATCATGCATGTTCCTAACACTGCATCAGCACCGGACCTGGGGCTTGGGAGCTGAAATTACAAAGTTTTTCCATCAGTAATTGTAGTGGCAAGGCTGGGTTGCTCTTCTGCATTTGCCTTTGGTTTCCTTTATGTTTTTTAAGCCAGGCACCACCTTTGGCCACCTGTGGCTAGAAGAGGCTGCCAGGCCTGCCCATCCCACGAGTCCTCCCTATTCCAGAAACTGGGACTGATGCACCTGGGTGATCAAACAGTGCCTCTCAAACAAAGGGCCACAAGCCAAGCAATGACTTCCAGCAAAACTCAACTTTTGTAACTCTCTCGAGCGAAACCAGAGGGCATGTCAGCACTTTGCTTTTTCCTTCTGAGAAATAGGTGTGAACAATTCCACCCAATTCAGCCAGGGAGGGCTGAGCGACTCGTGCGGAGACGAGTAGATTGAAACAAACAAAAAGGAAAGAAACAAAAAAAACCCATAAATCGTCGGCTTCTACCGACACAGCGGGGGCAGGACACGAATCCTTCCGGAGCAAGGATCCCTCGGGGCTGATCCGAGGGCATCCTGCCCGCTCCTCCCAGGGCACCAGGGCGGGAGCGGCGCATCCAGCGCGGCGTGGGAGAGGGGGCTGCGGGGGAATTTGAGGGGTGTGAGGGGGTTGGGGTGTGTGAGGGATGGGGGGTAGGGGGGTTGGAGGGTGTAAGGGAGTTTGGGGGGGATGTGAAGGCGTTTCGGGGGTGTGAGTGGTTTGGGGCTGAGGGCATTGGGGTCTGCCCGCGCCCCCGCGCTCACCTGGGCCCCAGGTGGCACCTGCCCAAGAGGTGCTGCTTGCAGAGGTGCAGCTGCTCGCAGCCGTCGCACTCCTTACGGACACAGACCCGCGCGTCCGTCACGGCCAGGACCACCTGGCCGCCCTCCACCAGCAGGAACCGCCGGGGGCCCGCCGCCGACAGCGTGTCCTGCAGCTGCTGCGCCGACAGCCCGACGTTCTCCTGCAGCTCCCGCAGCCCCAGCCGCCCGCCATGGGCGCACAGCGTCTGGGTGAGGAAACTGGACACGGCCGGATCGCACATCCCGCTCCTCCGCCCGGGACGGGACGCGAGCGGACTGTGGCAGGAGCGGGGCGGGAGCGGGAACAGCAGGAGCGAGGCACGGACTCGTCACCGCCTCTCGGCCGCGCTCGACGGGAATCGAAACCGAAGGCACGGGCGGGGCCGGCGGCTCGGGTCGCGCTGGGGGCAGGGATGTGCCCGGCATGGGGGCCTTCTTGGCTGAACGTCACACGGGAAGTAAATAATGCAAGAAGTGATGGAAAGGACTGTGAGGTTTCCTTGTTATTATCACGGAATCACGGAGTGGCTTGGGTTGGAAAGGTCTTAAAAATCATCTCGTTCCGCCCCCGACGTTGGGCAGAGTCTCTTTCCACTAGACCACGTTGCTCCTGGCCCAGAACACTTCCAAGATGAGGCAGCCGCATTTCCTCACCTTACTAACTTTTGCTCTCTCTCGACACTAACACAAATCCAGTGCAGAGCATTAAGGATATAAAGCAGGATAAAACACATAACATACATAAATGACTCTAGTATTTACGTGGCAATGCCATTACTTTTCTTTCTTCCCGGCTGGCAGTGAGTTGCTGATTAGCACTGGTTGCAGAAGTGTCCTGGCAGGGCTGTCAAGCTGTGCTGGTTTTGGCTGGGGTAGGGTTCATTTTCTTCAAGTGGCTGCTGTGGGGCTGTGTTTTGGATTTGTCCCAAACACAGGAATGATAACAGACATGTTTTCATTATTGCCGAGCAGTGATTGCACAGAACCAAGGTCTTTTCTACTCCTTGTACTCCCACACTGGGGAGGGGCTGGGGTGTGTGGGAAGCCAGGAGGAGGAAGGCTGGGACATTTGGAGTTACAGCATTTGTCTTCCCAGCACATGGAGACATGGGATAGAGCCCTGGTCTCCTGGAGATGACTGAACACCTGCCTGCCCTTGGGAAGCAGGCAATTAATTGCTTGATTTGCTTTGCTTGTGTGTGTGTAGCCTTTCCTTTCCCTATTACGCTGTCTTTATCTCAATCCTGGAGTTTTCCAGGTTTTACCCTTCTGATTCTCTCCCCAGTCCCACTGGTGGGGAGTGAGTGAGTGAGTGAGTGGCTGCCTGGGCCGGGCTGCTGGCTGTGGTTAAACTAGGACAGAAGTGCCAGGTTCCTTTTAGTGTTTTAGTAGGGCTGGGGAGGGTCTGTGGGATGGGGAAGAAGCCCAGCAAATACTGCCTCGAAAGAGGGTTGAGGATTAAATCCATTTGAGATTAAGTTTTCTACTGAAACCCTTTGGAAATGTAAGTTTCAGGGACAGTATCAACTGCTCCCTCTCTATCAGGAAGTTAGCCTTGAAAATAAAGCAAGTGGCCTGTGCTGCCTACTGCTGATGCCTGATTTGAAAGGCATGTGAAACTACAAAGTCACAGCCACTGTTCAGGTCATGAAGAGAGAACCACCTCCAGGAATAAGGCCAAAGTGGTACTGCCTGTGATATGCTGTTTCTTTGTTGTTGAAGTCTATGTAAGAACCTTTTCTTTGGGCATATTTCCCCATATCTGTCCCTTTCCTGTGATAATCAAACCAATGAAATGATTTTTAAAAAGCAATAGAAGAGGTAGGAGGAGGAGTTTGCCACGTCATAGCTTTAGAGAAGTAAATTGATAGTTCTGGGTTGGTTTATGCTCTAGGTGTGGGTATTGGCTTTCTCAGGTTGTCAACAGATCAGGAGGATAATAAAACTCAGATCCATACTTGAGGTAGCTTCAAGAGTGACTGATAAGGACAAAAATAATCCAAACATTGAGTCAGCAATATATTGCCAGCTTTAAACAGTAGATAATAATAATGGATCAGGCAAATTGTACAGTAATTTGCTTATATTTATTTGTCTTTTGTTTTTTTCCATCCAGTTCCAGTGAAAACATACATTTCTGCATTAATCCATCCAGAAATCTGAACTACTGGCCTGAGTTTTGCTGCATATTTTGTTGGAACAATATTAACAGTATGGAGCAGTAAAGTGAAGCACTGCAAGCAGAAAGAAACCACAAATGCAGTCTTGGCAAGCAGGTTCTATTCTCCACTTAAATACATTCAAGAAGTGTTTTGGATCAGGCCTGAGTAAAAGCAAACAAAGAAACACTGATGGATCTATCCTGTTTGTTACTATGTTTTGCAAATGCAAATGCCCAAATGCTTCCTTAGCAACTTTAAACAGAACCAATTTATGTGACACAACACAACTGGGCGAGGCAAAAGGGATCACAGTACGAAGGAGTCCCAAAATGGTGTTATTTTCATGGTGATTCCAACCTCAAGTATCAAGCCCTTTGCTTAAAGTTAGAAACCAGTATGGGTGGATTGCTGTAACCTCTTGCTACCCTGTAAATCTTTCTCTATGGTGTCCTCCACTTGCAGCTGTAGTATTTCCTTATTTGCCCTGACTCTGGTATTCAGCTGACTTTGTAGTGAACAAAATCAGCTTTCAGAGACTTGAGACTGCAATATTGATTGATATGAGCAAAGTATGAATGGAAGTGGCTGTGTGCAAGCACCAGAAGAAACAGCAGAGCAAAGGTTAAAAGAATGACCTGTGTTAAATAACCAAAACCACAGCTTCAGGCAGTAAAATCGAGAAATCAATTGTTTTTCTCAAAGTGGAAGTTTTGCTTTCTGTAGCACAGACAACTTGTCACCAGAAAATCCTACAGTCCTACCATCTGACATGCTGGACGTGGCAGGAAGAGACACAGCACATCACCAATAACATTTATTTCCCGTTGGTTCAACTGGGAGCAGACTACAGAACGTGGAAACATAGAAAATGACCACAGAAGTTCCACGATGTGCATGAAGGCAGCATAGCCAAACTGTGAAGCACGAGGATGCCACCACAGTCAGTGCTGGGTCCCACAAGCTTTCACAGGCAGTTTTCCTCTGCCAGTGGAAAATAACATAAGCAATAACAAAAGGGTGTGTGATGATTGGTGCCCATCTTCCCTTTTGTTACATGCAACGTGGATCCTGCTGAAACCAGCACCCCTCTGGGGCTGTGAGTATGGGGACTTGACAGTGTGAACAGAGTTGGATAAATGGAATGAATGTCAATGAAGGCTGGGGAACTGAGTGAAATGAATGCATACATAAATGCAACTTCTGCAGGGTGCAGATGGATTTTGAAAAATATGTGCCTTGTCTGATGTATCTGCAGTTGAAGCACAGGACATGGTCAGACATTGGATTCTGTGGAGCTGCCTGCTCTGTGTGAAGCAGAGGCTATGCCTGCTCTAAAGTTGGTGCAGCCCAGCTACTCTGGTGGCTCTGAGGGCATCAGCAGTTTTTTTCCCTTCGGGGGATAAATAAAGTATGCAGAAACACCCTGGAATGATGCGGTCAAACCGGCTTTCCCGCTTTTTTTCTGGCAACTTCTTCCTCTTAATCCTGACAGCGTCTTCAGAGCTGAGCGAGGCGGGATGAAGTTCGTTTCTTCTGATGAGTGAGCAGTAAATTCTTTTTCTCTGAAAGATTTAGGTGTTCTGTGGCTGCTATCTCAGTGTGAGTACCTCATTCCTCTCTTTTAAAAAAAGTATCCTCCATAGCATAGTTTCTAGTTTAACATTATGTTATAACCTAAAACTATATTTAACACACTACTTAAGAGAATTAATACAGCATTATTTTCTAACACAACATATATAATATTCATTTTAATATTTGCGAAAAGTCAATCATAAAATACATGCACTTTTCACTCTCCCCTAAAATTTCACCCCTAAAATCCCCCGGCAGGATCCAGAACATGCGGGGGAATCGATGGGAAACCACAACGGGCTGGTCCGTGAGCTGCGCTTTGGGAGTGCCCGGCACTTCGGGTTTCCGTAATTTTGGAGGCTCCCTCATAACTTTTGGCAGGTTTTAAATAATTTTTAGGCTGTCGCAGTCATTTGCGGGGAGGGTCCCCGTAATTTTGGGCAGTCCCCCTGTCATTTTGGAGGGATTCCCCATCAGTTTTGGGGAGTCCCTCATCATTTGGGGGGGGAGGTCCTAATAGTTCGGTGGGGTCTCCGTTATTTTGGGGGGTTCCCATAATTTTGAAAGGAAACATTCATTTTGAAGGGTTTCCTCGGCTTGAGGACTAAATCCAGGTGCACCGAGCCCGCTCCAGGCGCTTTGGAGTAACGGGACGAGGGAGAGCGCCGGGATCGGGACGGGAATGGGGGCACGGCGGCCGCGCTTTACGGCAGCGCGGCGGCACGGCGGGGCCGTGGCTGGGCTTTACGGCAGTGTGGCGCCTGAGGGGGCAGCGCGCTTTGCGGCAGTGCGGTGAGCCAAGGTGGTTACCGCCCAAAAATCCCTGAAAATTCATAAATTCTTAGGGACGGGGTGTGTGTGTGCAAAATGCTAAATCCTGTTAAGTTTCTCGTTTATATATATATATATATATATATATATATATATGAACACGTAATAACAATAATTTATATAAAAATTGATTTCAAAATACCACTCCCACACACACCCCCACACCCCACTCCCCCCCCCCCCCCCCCCCCCCGTACCTGCCATATTACATACAAATTTTTAGAACATAAGAACTCCTGAACAGATCCATAGGGCTGGAAAATGCAAAAAAAACTTTACTATGTATTAGTGAAACTAGAATTAAGGGCTTGAAAATGTGAGAATTTGTGAAGGAAATAGAAATAGCTCTTTGTGGTGTGGCAGGGGAGGAGCAGAGCAGTTGCTGAGTGTCATGAGGGGAAAATTGAGGTGAGCTGTCGGAGGCAGGTGGGCAAAATTTGGGAGATAAAGGTTGTGTTGTACAGAAAAACTACCTTGTTTTTATTTTGAGATAAAAACAAAGTAGTCAGTCGTGGAGAAGTGGGGAAGGTTTGGGTGGTAAAATTTGATGTAATCTCTAGGGGAAAGAATGAAGGTCAAAATGAAGTTCTTAGTAGAGGGCATTTTAGGGGTAAAAATTGAGCCAGGTTGGGGAAATTGTGGTGGTAAAAGTTGAGCTAATCTGTAAGGGACAG